TTACGATTGGTCATAAACGTTAAATAAATGCACATAGATTCATTAATTCTGGCCATATAAACAGAGACAAATGAAATATGAACTTTTGGGGTACACTTCAAATGGCAATTCCCAACCCTTCACTCTACTCGAATCTTCGACTACAATCGCCAGCGGCTGAAGGGATGATATAAATCCAGCTGGGGTGTACAACCCCAATATGTAAAATCAACACAAAACGTAAAAATTAACGCAATAGGTAAAAAATTAACGCCAAATGTAAAAAATATCTTTAACGCAATACGTAAACACCTAACGCAAAATGTAAATCCAATTTTTAACGCAATTTGTAAAAGATTAACGGAATATGTAAAATCAAGCTTTTTGGTTGTATTTATGTCTTGGTGACTGAAACTTTTTAGTAACTTCACTTTATTGTCTTTCAAAATAAGATATTCCAATATTTCTGTCAAAATTAACCTCATTTCTCATTTAACTGAAATCTGATCTGTAGGGTCATTAAACATCAAGGTAAAGCCGATAATTGTATGATGTAGAGATACTTTACATCATATTCTATATTCGACAGTATCAAAAGAAATCATTGTATTCTTCATAGATATTTTTTATATAAATGGTCAGATTGGTTGTATTATTCATCATGTCCCGTTCAAGGTTTTACCTTTTGGCCTTTTGTTATCCCACAACTGGCATTCAGCGTTAAGTTGGGGATAAAAAAATACCGTCTGTCCGTTCAAAGAACTGGTTTGGGCGATATCTCAAGAAGTGGTTAATCAATGTTTAATGATATTTGGCAGTGTAACAAAGGTTCCACTTGAAATTCTGCATACATCAGTGTTTTGTATTCTTTTTTCTTTTCATTGTTTTTGTTGAGAGACCAGTTTGTTCAGGCTTGTCTTTTTTAGTCGGGAATTAATAGCAAATTATTTTCCTTTTTTGGAGACCGCCTCCGTGGTGAAGTGGTCAGAGCTACTGCCCGGAGAACGGAAGGTCGCGGGTTCGATCACCGACCGCGTCATACCAAAAGACGTTAAAATATAGTACTTGTTGGTCCCTGCCTGGCTCTCGGCATAAATGGGTACAACAAGGACTGGTCAGCTCGGAGTCAGTATAATGTGTCTGAGTGGGGTCATCATGCTTCACTGCAGCATGGTATCTCAGTGGGCTAGCACTATAAAACCAGCTTCAGTCTGGGCTAGTACCAGCAGCCGCACATACACACACACACACATGCACGTCGTCATATGAGCGAAATATCCTCAAGCACGACGTAAAACCCAATTTCACCTCACCTCACCTTTTTTGGAATTTATGTATCAGTTACTTTTTGCACCACAACTTAAGCGTACGCTTACTAAATTTAGATGAAACACTCACAACTTCAAAGTCCAAGCGGCACGATAAATTCTGTATGCTACTTCCCACAGAAAATATTGACTTGTTGTTTAAGGTAGCCCTTGTGTTGTACCACATACTTATGTTGAGAGAGAAAATGTAAATTGTGAATGGGTGTTTATGGATTTATTGATGTTCCTATAACTCGCGTATTTACAGGTTGCGCATAAATGCACTGTTATTAGTTTACACATATTATTTTACACTTATACAAATAAATCTGTCTGTCTGTTACTTTTGTGGTAGGCAGACAAATAGTGTGTCTTTTTAATCTCGCCTCAAATTGCATTGATTAAATGCAACAAATCATGATAAAATGTTTGAGACATCCCATAGGGATCACTTGATTTTAGAGACTGACTGACTGAGTTTTGGTTTTACGCCGCTTTTAGCAATATTCCAGCAACATCACGGCGGGGAAACGAGAAATGGGCTTCACACATTGTACCCATGTGGGGATTCGAACCCGGGTCTTAGTCGTGACGAGCCAACGCTTTAACCATTAGGCTACCCCACCGCTCCTGATTTTAGAGAAATTGTCATATTTATCATGATGTATTTACATGTATTATATTATTCCAAATCGTGAAAATTTCTGTTTAAGTATAAATGTGTCGCTGTACACAAATATCTTTGATTTGGAAATGGTAAATCCATCTCGCAGTTTTAGGTATAATGGACATGCAAGATCCTTCCCAGTGATTCGGGTATTTGCATTCCAGTCACATCTGATTTCCTTCAATCAAGTCACAGGTAATATCGCTGCCAATGAAATCGAGTTATACCAGAGACATTTGAGATTGGATCCCGATGTTGATAGCTCAAATTTAATGAAATAAAGTTATTGTATTTGATGCAATTTAAGTAATATGTAATATTGATGTAAACGGGTAACATGACTTGTTCAATCCATCAAACATGCCAATGCCAAGATCAATGATACCTGAATAGAATTGCAAAATCACATACCACGCCTAAGAAATTATAATCGTAATTCACCATTTAATCACACAGATTGCCATTCGCTGTGTATTCTGTGACATTCACGTGATTATTTGACGTAGTACCAAACATTAATATAAATGGAACCAGTTATTCTATTGCTTACTAAATGGAGACATCTCTGTGTAATTAAAGTCTTCAATATCTGAAAAATTGCTGAAGGGGTGTTTAACCATATTAACCCCCTCATTCACGGGACATATGGTGATCACCTGGTTCTCACGGTTGTATCAGGAATCTTATGACAGAGGTCAAAATCTTTGACGTGACAGTGACACAAGTTCATCCAAAAGAGATTCTACCCAGAGAGAGTCCAGTTATATATCTTGGCTACTTTCATGAAAATGAAGGGAAACACTACATGACCCTAAATCCACCTGATCAAATTAAGAGTGTAACAGGTAGAATGGGCAAAGAGAGAGAAAGAGAGAGAGAGAGAGAGAGAGAGAGAGAGAGAGAGAGAGAGAGAGAGAGAGAGAGAGAGAGAGAGAGAGAGAGAGAGAGAGAGAGAGAATCATTTAATAAATGTACACATTGGTTTACTTGAAGTTGTTTCCCACCCGCAAATACAATTTATGAAAACAAGTTTGAAGAATATAATTATCCCTTTAAAACTTTCGAAAATAGACTATAAGATCGATTAAAATATCTCTATATACAAGGAAATTATATGTTCATCGACTCTGCTTACATGTATACTGAACGAGGTAAAATTTTGCATAAAAATGTAATATGAAGTTTATTTTGTAAGAAACATTGCTATATCTTAGTTTTTGTAAAATTTGTGACTAAAATGGATTTCGGCTGCTACCCCTAATATTCAAACCTAAAACTGGATTTTACATATTGCGTTAATTTTTTACATATTAAGTTAAAAATTGTTTTTACATTTTGCGTTAGGTGTTTTACTTTTTGCGTTAAAGACATCTTTTACATATTGCGTTAATATTTTACATATAGCGTTATATTTTACGTTTTGCGTTAAGTTTTTACATATTGCGTTAGTTTTTACATATTGTGTTGATTTTACATATTGGGGTTGTACATCTGGGTCCAGCAGGTAGCAAAAGTACTGTAAGTCCCCATGGTCCCTGGTATGGTGATCTACCTTCAGTTGTTGGCAATATATAGCCTGTTTTTTACCTTGTCTTGTCATCTATAGTTAGACTGTTTTAGATTTAATTACTAGTTTTAAATTCGAATCTGTGATAATCTAGTTATTTTACTGTCCTTCGTTGACAGGTTTTTATAGTTTACCATTGCTTACTATGCATAAAATTAATTGTTCTCGTCACGATATGGCTGAAATATTGCCGATGTGACGTTAAATATTAACTCACTCACTCACTCACTCCAGCCCGTTTATATATTTTATTATTCTCTATTGCGATATGTTTTGATATGAACATTCTAGTTTTACCTTGCTATCTGTGATGTACTAGTCTAGTAGTTTCACTGTCCATCGTCGATAGGTTTTAATCTTGAAAATGTATTCATCTTTATTTCATATATTGTCCTTGCCACGATGTGGCTGAGATATCGCCGATGTGGCGATAAATATTAACTCACTCACTCACTGACTCTACTCAACCATAAATAAGTTAACATCAACACCAACTTCTAAATGCCACTCAATGAAGTCATAAATATGTTTGGTGATTTGGACACAGATGTGGGCCGAAGTTAATTCTTTTTTACCTAGTCACTTGTGATAGCTATATATGTTTGGATTAAGCTGACGCTAAAGAGAACAGAATCAGTTGTCTTACATCTGACTTATTCACTGATACGTTTACTGACTATTTAATATGGAAGGCCACAATCCCATACGTGTCAAGACATACATTCCCAGCGATCTCAATCGGTGATATGTGTAGTCATATAAGCTTATATCTATGTGCCAGTTTTGAATCGCCTTTTCTACTAATGCTAATATATGTGCAGGGAGTGTCCACTAGCCGTGCCATAGTCATCTCGTGGATGGTTTAGAGATCAGATTTGCGATGACTAAGAACTTTCGGTTTTTCAGCCAATAACCGCTCGAGTTTGTAGAAGTGTTTAAGAAGAAGCTAGCTTGATACGTGGTACGCCTTGTGTCACTGTGTCACTGGCAGTGTCCAGTCAATGTCAACGATGGTACGTGGTCATCTTCGTCAACCAACTTGAAACGTCTTCGGCTGAAAAAGAAGAAGTTTCTTTTGTGTGTGAGGATACCTCTAAGCGGTTGATGTAGCTCCCAATGCTAACCTAAAACTGATGTCAAGTCTAGGACGTGTCGTACTGATGCCAGTTGTCTGTCATTCTCCTTGGCATGACTACACCACGTGAATATCAAAAGTGAAATATCTTAATTTGTGACAAAGAGAGACAATAGTAGCAATAATTATAGTCGACTTTTATAGCGCCAGGCTGAATATGTTGCTCAAAGCGCTAATCTATACCAGTATTCGCGGGTTGTTCGGGAATTCATGGATCTGTATTCCTGGTTTTCGTAAAATATAATGAATACATTATTCAGTTGAAGCGCGCTGTGTTAACGTACGTATAAATGAAATGCTGATATCTGTTTTTGTTATTTCCAGCAGGGATGAGTCAAACAACATCTTTTGTCTGACCTTTTGTCTGACAACGACAACTTCTGTATCTGAGCAACGTAGCTCAACACATTGACTTTTATGCCGATGTTGCGATTTCCATTTTTGTCTTCAACAACGCATCATAACATTTCCATAAGCATCCCAGAACTTCCGTGGGAACGCCAAGACTATTTAATGACGTTTCTGGAAACCTAATACTCTCTACGTATCCAGCTCTATTGTTTCGTAACATTTTGAAACATTTGTAGGGCTAATCAATCTCATCCCTAACAAAGGTAACTATTTAAAGCAGGAGATTGTATAGATTTATTTGATATACGACATAAGCGGCAAAACAAAACAAAATGGCTGACGGCCGCCACAGCTTCCACATTGCCGACTACGCAGTCTTCGGCGCCACCATCCTAATCTCACTGGGGATAGGACTCTACTTTGCTCTGTCTGGTGGACGCCAGAAAACAACATCCGAGTTTCTGGTCGGCGGCCGTGCTATGAAGTTTCTCCCCGTGGCTGTGTCGCTGATGGTGTCGTTTGAGTCGTCCATCATGATGTTGGGCACCCCGGCTGAAGTATACGTTTATGGGGCTCAAGTCTGGATATCGCTGTTTGGATTCCTGTCGTCGTTTTTGATATGCAGGGTGTTGATGATACCACTGATCCATCCCCTGAAAATCACCAGCGCTTACGAGGTAGGTTCGGGGTTATACATGATTCCTCACGTGGTAGCCAAGCACAGGCTGCGCTAAGATCACCCGTAAAGATCCGTGTCAGACTTGATCTTCAGCAACCCATGCTTGTCGTAAGAAGGCAACTTACTGGATTGGGTGGTCAGGCTCGATAACCTGGCTGGCACATGTCATCGTATCCCAGTTGCGTTGATCGATGCTCATGACGTTGACCACTGGATTGTGACTCGATTATTTACAGACCTCGGCCATACAGCTGGAATATTGCTGAGGGCGGCGTTAAATAATATACGGACAAACAAGCTAACTAGATAATTTACGACTGCAGGGTCGATGCTACTCTTTATTGTCATATTAAGGTATAAATGGGATCGGTTGGTCACACTGGCCTCTGCTATGGACAGATATTTAGAATAGTGATCCACGACGTCCGGCTGCGATGACGCGGGATCAACTAAATCCCCCACAAAAACAGTAAAACAGATCATCGTCTCCAATTTCATGCACTGGAAATCAAAAGACCGATTCTGGTCTAGGATTCCAATGACCTAAGACCAAAACATCACCCAAACGGTCCTTTATTATATGTAGTTGTTCAAGAAAATGACATATTTTGTCTTGCCTATTTTATGTTAATGGGTCAGTAGGGTAGCCCAGTGGCCAGGGTTCCATTCCTAAGTCCAGGGTTCCATTCCTAAGTCCCGGGTTCCATTCCTAAGTCCCGGGTTCCATTCCTAAGTCCCGGGTTCCATTCCTAAGTCCCGGGTTCCATTATGATATTGCAATAGCAGAGTCAACCATTCCTAACTGCCAAACTTGGTAAAAGAGTATATATAACCAAAGTAATACCACCAAAGACTTAAGTCAATGTTAATTTTTGCTTTTAGTATCTTGATGGAAGATTCAAATCCCGTGTCGTACGTCAAGTGGGAACGGCTCTTGGTGTCCTCACATATGTAAGTACGGTAGAATACGTCTCAATATATATATTGAGATAAAGAATCCGTAATCATTGTAATTCAATCAATGACCAGCATTCATCAATAATTTTGTTTAGCGTATTTTCATATTTCAAGTTCAAAATATTCTTCATTAAGGTATTCTACATGGGCATTGTGTTATTTGGACCAGCCATAGCATTGGAAGCAGGTATGTGAGCACCTGGTATAATCAGTAATCGATAGTGATTCATTAACACATATAAGTTTATGATAAAGTCGGAATCTGGTAAATTGATCTTCTTTCAGCAGATTCTATTTATTTATTTATTTCTTTATTTCTTTATTTCTTTATTTTTTTTTTTTATTTCTTTATTTCTTTATTTCTTTATTTCTTTATTTATTTATTTATTTATTTATTTATTTTATTTATTTAATTTATTTATTTATTTATTTATTTAATGGGGTGGGGTAGTCTGGTGGTTAAAGCGTTCGCTCGTCACGCCGAAGACCCGGATTCGATTTCCCACATGGGTACAATATGTGAAGCCCATTTCTGGTGTCCCCCGCCGTGATATTGCTGGACTATTGCTAATAGCGGCGTAACACTAAAGTCACTCACTCACTGTAGATGGCCATCTTAGGCGTCGAAGGAAATCCGCGTTCGCTGTGTGGAATTACAGATTCGTGCTCATGTCGAGTTTTGTTGTTCACTCCAGACACCATGTATTCATCCAGACCAAACTGATACCCATTCACATTGTAGAGTGACTAAGATGATAAAACCGAGTACATACGTGTTATACAATTGGAACCAACAAACAAATATCTGTATTTCAACTTTGATGCAAATTATTAGAATTATTAATGACAATATTCTTAATACCGTCTTTCATTCCCGTTTGTAGAAAAATGAAATATCTTGTTCACGATCTAAATTCTTACACTGAACCATTTATGGCGTGTTGTTCTATTAATAGTAACGGGGTTTCCCCAGTCCGGCTCCATCGTCCTGGTTGCGTCTGCCGCTATCTTGTACACCGCCATGGTGAGGAATGACATTTATTGTTTCATAAATTAATCTCAACACAATAAAGCTGAGTTAAATGTGGATAATATTCAAACATGTTATAATTCGAGCTCGACCTAATCGAATATATTTGAAAATCTGTTAAAAGCAGTCAGTGTGCGAAATAGCCACTGGCCTGCTAACCCGTATCTAGTAAAGCTCCAGTCGGGCAAGTAAATCCAGAGTCACTGGCACGATTGGCTAGTGAATTTTCATGGGGTCATTTTGTAAATATATCACTCTCTCCGACTTGTTAAGTAATAATACACATTTAAATCATGCAAGATTATGGCCTGATAAAAAATGTTCATCATATTAGCAGCTTAATGATGAAACCTGGGTCTCCATTCAAATTTCGGGCTAGTGAATTATTTAATTTTAGTAATGCTAGTAACTTTAAGGCACAGCTAGCCCAACGGTCTAGCAAAATTCGGAAACTATTTCGCACACTGAAGGCAGTTCTTATCTGAAGCTACGAGATGTTTATGATTTGAACGAGTGCATTGTTCGCAGGGTGGACTGAAAGCTGTGATCTGGACTGACGTCTTCCAGGCTTTTGTGATGTTTGCAGGAATGCTGGCAGTCATCATCAAGGTAACACACGCCCGCCCTCTCATCCTGGAGAAGTGCCCGCATTTCTTATATCTTCGTCCATCTCGGAAAAAGCTAGCCTTCCGTCGTTGGTATTTTAGTTTAAGAATGTGTAACGTGTTCATGATCCATAATTGTAGGTACTCCACCAATACTCGGCTACTTGATCACTGGATTGTCTGGTCCAGACTCGATTATTTACAGACTGCCGCCATATAGCTGGAATATTGTTGAGTGCGGCGTTAAACAACAAACTAACCAACCAAAGTTCTAAGCCTCTAAGTAAGTTTGGTTTACGGTTCTAACGGTCAAGTGAAACTACAAGCTATATATATATTAATTATATTGTTCAAAGCGAATTTAATCCAAGCGGTCACTCACTAACTTTTGTTACATAGTGTCATTCTAATGTGTCATTCCAATGCCGGGGCTCGCAACTCACTCACAATGAACAAACATGATAACGCATTTATTAATTTATGAATATTGATTTATATCATATCAGGGATTAATTCGTCATGTTTGATTTCGAATTTCAGGGCACATTGGACGCGGGTGGAATTAACTCCGTATGGACAACTGCGGCTAAGGGTGGACGCCTGAATTTTTTTCAAGTAAGATAATAATACACTCTCTCAAAAAAGAAACGCAACCCCTGTTTTTTTTGGTAATGTTTATATCAATTTTAACTGGTTATTACATTTGTATTTTTAAAGATAATGCCATGAAATTTGACATGGTGAACCTTAGGTCAGCACGGTATAAGGTAACAGTTAATGCAGGTCAGTATCGAACTCTCAATTTACGCTAGGGGGCGTTGTCTTCAGTATCTCGTTGTAGAGCCACGAGCTCTAATCACAGCAGTGCACCTCCTCGGAACAGAACGAATCAGACGGCGGATGTTTTCCTGGGAGATTGCTCTCCACTCTTCCTGGAGTGCTGCGGCCAGTTCAACCAACGTGTGCGGTTGTGGTGTACGTGCACGAACACGACGATCCAGCTGGTCCCACAGATGTTCGATAGGATTGATGTCTGGCGATCTGGAGGGCCACGGCATCACGTTGACGTTTGAATTCTGTAGGAATGCCACTGTTGCACGAGCTGTATGAGGGCGGGCATTGTCATGTTGAAACAACTCCCTCTGTTGGTCGATTATCGGCAGAAGATGTGGCTGTAAGACGTCATCAATGTACCGTTGTGCCGTCAAATTGCCACGAATGATGACCAAGTCTGACCGTTGGTTGTAAGACATGGCTCCCCATACCATGATGCTTCCTCCTCCAAATCTGTCGACCTGTCGAACGCAGGTCGGTGCAAAACGTTCATTTGCTCGTCTATAGACACGTTGTCTACCGTCACGTCGTTGAAGAAGAAAACGAGACTCGTCACTAAACCAGACTCTTCTCCAGTTTCTTAGGGTCCATCTCCTTACGTTAGTACACCACCTGAGACGTTGGCGTCGATGTTGGCGTTTCAAGACGGGCCCAACAACTGGTCTTCTTGCACGTAAATTTGCCTCATGTAAACGGTTCCTGATGGTTTGGGCCGATACTCTCCTCAAACCTGGCACCTGTGTTGCAGTGATGGTGGGTGTGGCATGCCGATTACGTAGGTGGCTGAGTCGAATAAAGCGATCCTGAGCCGGTGTGGTGATCCTAGGTCTACCGCTCCTGGGACGATCTTCAATTGCATGGAACTGTGTGTAACGATTCCAAAGTCGTGAGATTGTTGTTTTGTGTACGTTTAGATGACGGGCAACTGTTCCAAAGCTTTCCCCGGCCTCAATGCGACCAATGGCAATATTTCGATTTGCTGTACTCAAACGGGGCATTTTCGAACTTGATTTGCAGAGCAAATTATGAGAGAAAAATTACAAACTACGCGTGCTTTTAAAACCCTCTACATGAACTGTGTTTTCAACGATTTGCACGTGCAACAGGCTTTTAGCATTTTGTACATGACAATTTCGCACTTTCTCAAATAACACGGATACAAAGGTCATCATGTGTGAAAATGGTTCCGTTTGGGAGCTTATACTGATCAGATGGGAACGTATTAACAGTATTTTGAAGAAAATTCTAATTTACATTCACCATCTTTATTCTAGAAATGATGTCAGATATTTAGATAGGGGTTGCGTTTCTTTTTTGAGAGAGTGTATATTTTAATGAATTATTTTTACGATAAATATGTTCGCAAAATGTTCAGCTTAGGTTTAATGGTGATATTGAAATTGCGCTTACGAAAATTGCCATCAAATCAAACCGCCTCTACTTGGCATGGTGCAGTCCGTCACAAGGGTTTGACTGAGTAAGGCTTTACGCCGCTCGAAGCACTTTTCCAGCAATATCAGGGAGGTGAATACCAGAAATAGGCTTCATACTTTATACCCATTTGTGGATTCGAACCTGGGTACTCGACGGTGTAACCACTACGCTTCCCCACCACCCCGCACCACAATGAAACTTTTAGTGGAAAGTCGAAACAATGACACTGTAAAAATGATTGTTTTTAAAAGTCTAGATTAATATCTGCTTAAATTTGTTTTGCATCCTTTTTGTGGTTTGATTGGGAATTTTAGTGGGGATTATTTTTTTGAATTTGGCAAAAGTCTGATCCCCCTGCAGTTTCAACCATTTCCACATTAAAAACCCACAACCCGCGTTAATGCTTCCGTATTGGTCATGGTGTGGTTAAACCTAATCATCTTAAGGGAGTTATCGGATAGTACGATGGTGTCCTATAACCGGGGATAGTAATGTAGGAAGGCGTTTCCTATTCTCGCGGTACTTACGGATATCGGTTGAAAAAATAACACAAACAATTCTTATCGTATTAATTAAGTTGTTTTTAAATGAAGGGCCTTCTCCTCTTACATCTACATTTATCAGCTGCCAGATCCATCAGGTGAATTACCACTCGTGAGCCCGGTGATAAACAATGCCATCCGCCATTGACGAAACGAGGCTTCTCCCATTCTCGCGGTATTACCAGGAATTAACGTTATTGAGTGTATGTAAGAGCAATCCTGTTGGAAAGGGCGGGAAAAGGTAATGATATGTCCAAGTTGGTATAAACTCCCCAATATTCGTGACACTGCAAGATTTTGATCACTCACAGACCTGGTCCACTTCCTAGTTACCAGTCGGTGATGTAAACAACCGGTAAGTGTCACGCATCGGCGATTTCGGCAGAAAACGTGTTTACCGCGAGAATAGGAAACCCGCGAGAATAGGAGACGCACCTGAGCAGGTAAAGTGCCTGGATATGAACGTCATATAAGCGGACTATTATTATGATAAATCAGCCTTCTAATCCGATTAAAGATCTCGTCAGTCCAAGAACCGACTTATTTCTGTTGTGAGCCCCAGTCGCAAAGTTGAGAACTTCTCAGGTTACCCTTTGAGCTGAGGAGTGGCCTAGTGGGTAAAGAGCCCGCTCGATATGTTGATAACACGGGTTTGATTCCCCATATGGGTACAATCTGTGAAGCCCATTTCAAGCGTCCCCCGCGGTGATATTGCTAATGTTGCTAAAAACGGCGTAAAACCATACTCAGACGTTGCATATATTTACAGTCATCAGCATTTCCAGCACAGACTAATCCATTAACAGAATATTTGCCACATTAACATACATTTAACCCCCACTGATTTCATCGCGATGGTTTAACCTTGGCATTTGAACCTGGGAACACATATGCATTGGCTTAACACATCATACTGGACAGTGAGTGAGAGACTGAGTTAATATTTAACGTCACATCGGCAATATCTCAGCCATATCGTGACGAAAACAATTTATACAATAAAGATGAAAACATTCTGAAGATGAAAATATTCTGAAGAGTAGAACCTGTCAACGATGGACAGTAAAAAGAGTATCACAGATATTAATATAAAACTAGCATGTAAAATTTTAACTTTTAATTAAAGAAGACCATACAATATAAAACACATACTGGAGAGTGGGCGGTGGGGTAGCCTAGTGGTGCAAGAGTTCAATCGTTACACCGAAGACCCGGGTTCGATTCCCCTAATGTCTACATTTTGTGAAGCCCATTTCTGTCCTCCGTTGTGGTATTGCTGTAATATAAGCGGTATAAAATCATAATCATTCACACACCGACACATATTGGACCATCAAACGATCCATGATCCATGACACAGTTTTGACCCGGACCCGACCGTTCGTCACACGTTCTGGGGGCTTTTTCTGGGTACATTCGCTCGGTCGTCCGGCCTGATCTTCAACCAGTCAACTATACAAAGGGTCTGTTCAACGCCAACACTCGCTGCCGCCAAGAAGTGAGTCTTTCTGTTATCTGTTTCGCCCTACCTACAGTCACATACAATGTAATGCCTTTCGGTTCAACCCGGCAATATTCAGGTATCATTTGTAAAGGAAAAGCATTCTTTTCCCGTCGACCAAATGTAACAATGACATTGTATAAAGTGAGGTTATATGAGGTCTGTTTTGAGGTTGTGAACGTCTTCTATATTGAATAAACCTTGTATTTAGCCAGCCTTTAGGGATATACACTTTCCACTTCAAAACATAATCGCGTGATAACATGTATTTATGGTGTATATCAAATATATATCTTGGTTCTATTCGACAGAGAAGTTCAAAAGCTAATGTGTTTAGAGATTGTGAACATCCTATATAATGAATAAACATTGTATTTAGCGAGCCTTTAGGGATATACACTTTCCACCTCAAAACAGAATCGCGTGATAACATGTTTTATGGTGTATATCAAATATATATCTTGGTTCTATTCGACAGAGAGAACTTATAAGGCTTGTTTGTTTTGAGATTGTGAATATCATATATACTCATGCCAATAATGGTTGTCGCCCTCCCACCACCTCCCTCCCCACCCCAACCCCACACCTCACCCACCCACTCCACACCCCTCTCCAATTAAACAAATTGAAAGGGGTGACAACCACTATTGGCATGAGTATATTATGAATAAACATTGTATTCAGCGAGCCTTTCGGGTATAATTTTCCCCTCAAAACCGAATCGCGTGATAACATGTATATGTATTTCTGGTCATTCCATGTGTATCAAATATATATACTGGTTCTATTCGACAGAGTAATGCTGATAGTGAGTCCTGCATTCTGGATAACCATCACACTTGCCATGATAGAGGGCATCGTGGCCTATGCTTACTATGTGAACCTCCGCTGTGACCCGCTGGAGTCAGACAAGATACACAATCCAAATCAGGTCAGTTACATTTACTTATCACTCAGGACATGCAGTATCACAGTCCTTGGCAAGAATTCTGGCAAAGAATCGCGCTTGTTTAGTTAGAATTAGTCAACTATATTTAATTTTTGTTGAAAACGTTCTCAGTACATGACCAGGTATTGTTGTCATAAATCATTTTTCAAAGGATCGTACGATCAAGGAATGAATTTATATTTAAAAACCAGTTACGCGTTCAAAGAAATTGGGGGGTTTAGCTGTTAAAGCGTTCGCTAGTCACGCTGAAGACCCCGTCGCCGAAATACCTTAGTTGTGCTTGCGACGTTAAATAAAGCAAATAACAACAAGCTGAAGACCCGGGTTCCATGCCCCACATGGGTACAACATGTGAAGCCTAATTCTGGTGATATTGCTGGAATATTGCTGAAAGCGACGTAAAACTAAACTCACTCACTCACTCCTCGAAGAAACTGGATGTGCTTAACAGCCGAACAGAGTGAGTGTGTTAATATCTATACTTACATCGGCGGTATTTAAGCAATATCGTGAGTAAATCAACAAAATTAATAAAAAAAATTAGGACTATAACACCAGGGAATAGTGAAAGAACCAAAATAGCACAGATATACATTTAAAACTAGTATGTAAACATTAAAATGTTACTATTTATTGTAATGGAAGGTAAAAAACACCCGAGAGCCTGAGATTGTAATGGTACTGGTTGTTACTAAACACGAAACCTTTCCTTGAATGTTAGACGTTTTTGGTAGACTCATGACCTGTTTTCGGACACCTTTTTGAAAACATACAGTGCCGTTCTTTGAGAAGAGGTGCCAAAGAAATCAATTGTGCATATTTTGCCTCATGTTTTATTATATGTCTTTTAGATCATACCATTTATGGTAATGGATATTTTCCGGGGTTTGCCTGGCATGCCTGGACTCTTTCTGGCCGCTTTATTCAGTGCATCTCTCAGGTAACTTCTTTGAGAGGCATTTTTCCTTCATCTCACAGGTAGGCAATGTCTGTACACCCTCTTGCCCCAGTACGTCTATAATGCATGCAACACCTGGACTCTTTCTGACAGCTTTATTCAGTGCATCTCTCAGGTAGGCAATGTCTGTACACCCTCTTGCTTCAGTACGTCTATGATGCATGCAGTACCTGGACTCTTTCTGACGGCTTTATTCAGTGCATCTGTAAAGTAGGCGTCTGTACACCCTCTTGCAGTGCCTCAACACCTCCTGGACTCGTTCTGACAGCTTTATTCAGTGCATCTCTCAGGTAGGCAATGTCTGTACACCCTCTTGCCCCAGTGCCTCTATGATGCATGCAGTGGCTGGACTCTTTCTGGCCACTTTATTCAGTGCATCTCTCAAGTAGGCAATGTCTGTACACCCTCTTGCCCCAGTGCCTCTATGATGCATGCAGTGGCTGGACTCTTTCTGGCCACTTTATTCAGTGCATCTCTCAGGTAGGCAATGTCGGTACACCCTCTTGCCTCTAATGCTGTTTTGAAGAAAACAGATATATGAAACTTTACAGTTTCAGAAATATCATCACGAACACCATCACCCACCCTAATATTGTGTAGTTTCTATTTATGTCATTTCATCTGATGTTGTTGAAGTAATAGGGCTGGGACGGGTAGGAAATAATGGAATCGAGTACCCGCATGTACTTACCCGAATCGGAATCGAGTACCCGGAAATGTAAGGAATACAGCGCTTCAGTCAACTGTCTGAATATTCAATCACGAGTTGACAGAGATTATTATATTAATCTCGAAAGGATGGCAATAAGACATAAAAACAGATCTTAGGCTATTTAATTTACATCTGCTTAACCAATATAGAGAGTAACACCATTACTTACATTCATCGTTAAACACAGAACTTTCCGTTCCGCTGTTACTGTAACTTTCACTACTCACTGCTCATGCGCAGATATATTACAGTCGTTAATAATAACCTTCATTAATCGGACAATACCAATGATGAAAATGAGTGTTGCGTCAATTATGAAAAAGAGGCAAGTTATTATCTGCCCTTGTCATTACAGAGTTCTCTCCCTATCCGGGTACTCGATTCCAATATATAGGACTCGATTCCATCTGTACCCGACCCGGATTCGAGTACCCGAGTACCCGTCCCAGCCCTATGAAGTATTGCTAAATTTGGCGTAACCCATAACCACTTACTTTGAAAACCAGGCAGTCTCCATTTTACGAAGACAATGTATGCTTGAGCGATACCACTGCGACATATGTAACTATATTTACTATTCAGGAAGACATCATGCATATTTCTTCAACAGCACAATTTCATCTGGACTGTCCAGTCTGTCAGCGATGACCTGGGAGGACATTCTCAAACCACGCCTACCAAATGTTTCCGACCTCACAGCAACGATGATAGCTAAAGTGTCAGGTGAATGTTATGCGTCATATAAACACAATATGATACACTAATATTGCTCTTACAACTCTGATAAGGGTATTGATAGGTTAACAGTTTCACGGTAGATGTGAGCAGTGAATAGCCTTGCATGTTAAAGCAGTAGGGGTGGGATAGCCTAGTGGTTAAAGCGTTCGCTCGTCACGCCGAAGACCCGGCTCGATTCCCCACATGGCTACAACGTGTGAAGCCCAGTTCTGGTGTCCCCAGAAAAGCGGCGTAAAACTATACTCACTCATTCACTCACTAATACCTGTCTCCTGAGAGAGTACGTAAGTAAAACAAACTTGCAAAGTCGATTTAGCTCCACCAAGCGTAGAATATTTGTTGTTTTTAAATAATGACTGAATATCAGTATATCCAGCTGGGGCTCATGCAGGTAGGAATAGTACTGTAAGTCCCCATGGTCCCTAGTATGGTAATCTACCTTCAGTGGATGGTGATCTCTAGTCCGTTTTTATGTTGTAATTTCCAAAATAATAAATAAAGTTACATATATGATATCCTAGTTGTTTGACTGTCCTTTGACGACAGATTTTATAATGTAACATTAAAAAGCATTTAAGTGTGAACTGTTTTAGTCACGATATGGCTGAAATATTGCCAAAGTGACTTTCAATTTTTACTCTCACTTACTGACTTATACGAGTGATCCCTGTATGTTTCAGTGGTCGTGTTCGGAGCCCTGTCCTGTGGAGTGGCTATTCTTATTTCTCTCATTGGGGGAACACTCACGCAGGTGATTAATAACTGTATTATGTTATGTCACGGATATGCTAGAGCTGCTTGGCGTCTCCATATGGTGACAATGTCACGTCGTTCATTAGGCTGTAGTTTATGTCACACATTCCCTGTAACATATATATGCATATAAGGTGAGGTGAAATTGGGTTTAACGTCGTGCTTGAGAATATTTCGCTCATATGACGACGTGCATGCGTGTGTATGTGTATGTGCGGCTGCTTGTACTAGTCCAGACTTAAGCTGGTTTTATAGTGCTAGCCCACTGAGATACCACATGGCAGTGAAGCATGAATACCCCACTCAGACACATTATACTGACTCCGAGCCGACCAGTCCTTGTTGTACCCATTAATGCCGAGCGCCAGGCAGGGACCAACCAAGTACCATATTTTAACGTCTTTTGGTATGACGCAGTCGGGGATCGAACCCGCGACCTTCCGCTCTCCGGGCGGACGCTCTAACCACTACACCACGGAGGCGGTCCTATATGCATATGAAACGTATTACGGTTGGTACGTTTATGTCCTGGTTCAATTACTAAGGTGTGTCATTAACAAATTAAAACCATCCATTTAGTACAACAATGTAACTGAATCTTGATTGGTTGGTTGGTTGGTTGGCTGGTCGGTTTGTTTGTTTGGTTGTTGGTTGGTTGGTTGGTTGGTTGGTTGGTTGGTTGGTTGGTTGGTTGGTTGGTTGGGTTGGTTGTTGGTTGGTTGGTTCTGGCTGGTTGGTTGGTTTGTTGGTTGATTGGTTGGTTGGGTGGTTGGCTGGCTGGTTGGTTGGTTGGTTGGTTGGTTGGTCGGTCGATCGATCGGTTGGTTGGTCGGTCGGTTTTGTTGGTTGGTTGGTTGGTCGGTCGATCGGTTGGTTGAACAGGTCGGTTGGTTGGTCGGTCGGTTGGTTGGATGGTTGGTTGGTTGTGAAAGGCTCGTGTGTTCAGTGTTTGGAGAACGTGGTCACCGCCTTTTTTCAGATGCGTGCTTGATTACTGTGACAGTTTTATCTTTGAACAGAGGAGTTCTCTTATCAAATGCATGCTCTTTCAGATTACTGTGACAGTTTTATCCAAAAGTTTTATCTTTAAACAGAAAGGTCATTTTATCAAACGCATGCTTCTTCAGATTACTTCGACAGTTTTAGCCGCTTTCAACGGTCCTCTGTGTGGCCTCTTTATCCTCGCATCACTCTGCCCATGGGCCAACGCTAAAGTAAGTAATTTTGAGGGGCTGAACATTTTCTGAATTATAGTCTCGTCAACAAAAAACATCGTTTGGGGGTTATTACTTTTATCAGGTATGTTCCGTAATGATTACTAGCATGTGTTAACCCGGACAAAAAATGCCGAACGAATTTACATGAAACAGCGTGATCAGGATCAATCAGTGTGCATGTTACCACCAACTCTGTATATAACGCGATCACTGGAATGTCTGGTCCAGACTCGATTATTTATAGACCGCCGCCATATAGCTGGAATATTGCTGAATGCGGCGTAAAACTAAATTCACTCACTCACTCACTCACAGTATATAACACAAGTCAAAATGGATATGTGTGTGAGTGAACAAGAATATACCCTTGCCATTTTACAATTATAGCAGAAAGGACTGAAAGTCTGAAAATGAGCGAGGGAGTATGAAGATATATATATTGCATTTAGCAATATTTTAGCAATATAAAGGCGGGGGAAACCAGAAATTGGCTTAAAAAAATAACACCCATGCGGGGAATCGAACCCGGGTCTTCGGCGTTAAGTGTATGAAAGCCCATGACGTATTGTCGATGTAATCAAACGTTATCTTCCTCAGGGAGCAGTCATTTCCACTGTGATAAGCACTATCATTATGATTTGGTTGTGTGCTGGATCTACGTTTTCTGGAGCTACAAGACCTACTCCTTGGCTGACACCGGCCCCGACCGACCAGTGTTCTGCGGACAACATGACGTCGTTAGTTATGAACACAACAGGACTAATGACGTCATCAGCAGAACTGTATGACGTAACAACAGTTGCAACTGTAGCCGAACCAGTGTAAGTATTATATAAACCTTATCGTATGTTATGTTTTTGTTGGGTATAATTCAAATCATAATTCAAGTTGAACTTTCGGGACTAAAATTGGTTTATATCTTAATTAGCGTAAAGGGCCCATAGAAATTAACATGTCATTATGACCATATTCCTCATTAGATGTTTGATTGGCATTTTAGAAGATGCTGTTTGATGAACACAGAGACTTTTCTGGGTGTCATCTTCTTTTTATTGTTTGGTACAACGTTTCAGGGCTTGTTCTGGCCCCATCATCAGGTAGAAATATAGAACAGTAACTTTATTTCTACCTGATGATGGGGCCAGAACAAGCCCTAAAACGTTGTACCAAACAATAAAAAGAAGATAACACCCAGAAAAGTCTCTATGTTCATATTCTTCATGTTTGAGAAATATGTTTTGAATAAAATTAACACTTACATAAAACAAGAAAACAAGAGCATTATGAAAAAAAAAACAAGAAATAGAAAATGAAAGAAATTAAAAAACGACGCACACACGCACGCACGCACACACACCTACACACCAGATACACACAAAAACCCAGACAAACCACATAACAATGCACACACACACACACACCTACACACCAGACACACACAAAAACCAGACAAACCACATAACAATGGAAACACGCACACACACACTACACAACAGACACACACAAAAACCCAGATAAACCACATAACAATGGAAACACGCACACACCTACACACCAGACACACACAAAAACCCAGACAAACCACATAACAATGAAAACACGCACACACACCTACACACACCAGACACACACAAAAACCCAGACAAACCACATAACAATGAAAACACGCACACACACCTACACATGTACACCAGACATACACAAAAACCGAGATAAACCACATAACAATGAAAACACGCACACACACCTACACACCAGACACACACAAAAACCCAGACAAACCACATAACAATGAAAACACGCACACACACACCTACACACCAGACACACACAAAAACCCAGACAAACCACATAACAATGAAAACACGCACACACACACCTACACACCAGACACACAAAAACCCATACAAACCACATAACAATGAAAACACGCACACACACACCTACACACCAGACACACACAAAAACCCAGACAAACCACATAACAATGAAACACGCACACACACCTATACACACCAGACACACACACAAAACCCAGACAAACCACATAACAATGAACACACGCACACACAACAGCAGGAGATGAAGCAATAAGAAAGCAAAGATCCCGCTTAGCAATGGTGAAGGGATGTCTCTTGCATGGGACTTACACTCTAGAGCCATGTTGGGGTCTTGTCTCAGGCTTGGTTGGTGTGGTGTCCCTGTGAGTAATTGTGTATATCTATATATGAATTCTATCATGAAGAGAAAATTTAAGAAAAAATTCGAATGTCAGAAAATTTCGGATTGCTGAAATAAAACAAAAATTGGAATTAATATTCCGACGGAATGCAGTGGGGTTTTTCAAATGGTCATTTTCATATCGGAATACAGAGCCCAAACAATTATATGACACAGGCTGCGAGGGTTTATATTCTCTTGATGCCGAGCATCGATTAGTGTAACAACCATTTCGATATTAAACGTCTTTTGGTATGACGAAACCGGGAATCGAACCGCCAACCATCCGATTTCCGGGCAGGCACTCTATCAAACTTAACGCGCTTGTAACCATCTGGCCAAGCGTGGAGCGATGGGGTAGCCTAGTGGTTAAACCGTTCGCTCGTCACCCCTGAAGCCCCGGGTTTGATTCCCCACATGGGTACAATGTGTGGAGCCAATTTCTGGTGTCCCACGCCAAGATATTGCTGGAATATGCAAAAGCGGCGTAAAACCAGCTCACTTACTCAATTTGAAAGTGGTATTACTTGCATCTTCGACATTTCCAAAACGGGACAACTGTCTTTTGTAGATATTTCATACAAATGCATTACATTTCAGAGAGAAGTGGTAGGGTAAATGTTTCGTCAACATGTATATACTATATAAACATAAAATGTATAAATGAAATGCCACACTTAGAATCACCTTACAGTTTCCGTATTGTCTGTTTCAGAACTGGGTTCAATGTCATATACACACTGTCATACACATGGCTCGGCGCTGTTGGAATCGCCATTGTACTCATCGTTGGCTTCTTCGTAAGCTGGGCAACAGGTAGGGAGTACCATTTTATAGAACCATATATGGTTTAACTAGCCCTGAGATGGAATCTTGCTTAAGTATGTTTGTATCGGTACCTTTTAAGTTGGTGTTAATGTTGTACTTTACGTTGTAGTACCTTCGTAGTGTACGTTGTGGCAATGTTGTACTTTACGTTGTAGTACCTTCGTAGTGTACGTTGTGGCAATGTTGTACTTTACGTTGTAGTACCTTCGTAGTGTACTTTGTGGCAATGTTGTACTTTGCGTTGTAGTACCTTCGTATTGTCCGTTGTGGCAGTGTTGTATTTTACGTTGTAGTACCTTCGTAGTGAACGTTGTGGCAATGTTGTACTTTACGTTGTAGTACCTTCGTAGTGTACGTTGTGGCAATGTTGTACTTTACGTCTGTAGTACCTTCGTAGTGTACGTTGTGGCAATGTTGTACTTTATATCGTACTGCCTTCGTAGTGTACGTTGTGGCAATGTTGTACTTTACGTTGTAGTACCTTCGTAGTGTACGTTGTGGCAATGTTGTACTTTATATCGTACGGCCTTCGTAGTGTACGTTGTGGTTATGTTGTACTTTACGTAGGAGTACGTTCGTAGTGTACTTTGTGGCAATGTTGTACTTTACATTGTAGTACCTTCGTGGTGTACGTTGTAGAAATGTTGTACTTGACGTTGTAGTACCTTCGTGGTGTACGTTGTAGAAATGTTGTACTTGACGTTGTAGTACCTTCGTGGTGTACGTTGTGGCAATGTTGTACTTGACGTTGTAGTACCTTCGTGGTGTACGTTGTGGCAATGTTGTACTTTACGTTTGTAGTACCTTCGTAGTGTACGTTGTGGCAATGTTGTACTTTACGTTTGTAGTACCTTCGTAGTGTACGTTGTGGCAATGTTGTACTTTATATCGTACTGCCTTCGTAGTGTACGTTGTGGCTATGTTGTACTTTACGTAGTAGTACCTTCGTAGTGTACGTTGTGGAAATGTTGTACTTTACGTTGTAGTACCTTCGTAGTGTACGTTGTGGCAATGTTGTACTTTACGTTTGTAGTACCTTCGTAGTGTACGTTGTGGCAATGTTGTACTTTACGTTTGTAGTACCTTCGTAGTGTACGTTGTGGCAATGTTGTACTTTATATCGTACTGCCTTCGTAGTGTACGTTGTGGCAATGTTGTACTTTACGTTGTAGTACCTTCGTAGTGTACGTTGTGGCAATGTTGTACTTTACGTTGTAGTACCTTCGTAGTGTATGTTGTACTTTACGTTGTAATAAAAAGGTGAGCTTATCCTGACCCACCAGTGGCACCTCCCATTAAAACACACAGACCTTTTCACTCACAAAATACAGGACAAATAAGATGCAAGTCAAAATAAGGAATTGCAAAGGAAATCATTTTTTTCAAATTTTAAAATGTCATCCACATCTCCACCGTGAAACAGTTTCACTGAGGCCTTGAATGTTGTAACCTTGATCTAACAACTTCTGAGCAAGAGACGCCAGACGCCCTTTAAAGTCAGATTGTACCTCAAAACAACTAACGTTGTGTTCGGAGGTTTAACTATGCATCCTTCACATGTACATAAATATCTTGCGGTGTATATTCTCTGACAACATGTCTTGAATGAATATGACCATTTGGTGTAATAGGGCCCGTAAGTAGGTCACGGCACCTCGCGAGACCTTAGTACTTCCGGTGAAAAACAACGTTTCATACCTTTTCGAATGGTCTCATGGTTGTCAGTTTACAGTAAGGAACCGATAATCCTTGCATGAATAACAAATTTCCCATCTAACCACCCCTAAATTAGCCAACTATTACGACTGTCAACAGTGTATGAAATAAAGCCCGTCCGACCGACCGAGACGGGCTAGATTTCTGACGGACGGTCTACATTTACAGCTAGCCAGCCCGATGGCCTGGTAAAAATTGTGGATGTTTCATACATGTGAGTAAATTCACCATATCTTGGTGTGTGGTCTGGTTAAATCCATTTTGGGCAGGTAACATTTTGAAGTTACCAGCCCTGATGTCGGCCTGGGTTTTGGGCTTATTTCATACACTGCTGTCAACATCTGTGACAGCCAAGCATGGTTGTACACTTGGTCCGGTCTAGTAAAGTCATATTTGGCGGTCGCGCAATTTGGAACCAGAACTGGTTCTTGAATACATGCTTGTCACCGGAAATCTGGTACCGGAAGTAAGCTGGGTCCCGTCTCGTATATAGCAAGCTGGCGCACGCAAAGGGAGCTGGTAAACAGCTTAGTACCGGAAGTAGCGCCTCGCGAGACTTACAGGCCCTATTCAGCTGTGGTATTCACTTGTACATGCTTTTCTTTCTTTCTTTTTTGCGTCTGCAGGTTTCAACAAAGATGGCGACCTGGATCCTCGCTATGTCATATATTTATCTGAGGTGGTGAAAAATATTCTCAGGTGCGGGAAGAAGAGCACGAGTGATGAGGTAATGACTAAACTACTTACGTTACAGGTTCAGAGATGTAATTTATCGATCAACAGAAAAGTTCCACATGCCATATGATGCTGGAGATTAATATTTCTCCAATGAGGTTGAAATTAGATCCGCTCACTTACCAAGGGACCCGTGAAGATCCGGGTTAGAATTGGTCTTCAACCTCCCTTCATTATCGTAAGAGGCGACTAACGGGATCGGATTGTCAGACTCGCTGACTTGGTTGACACATGTAATCCTATCTCAGATCAGACCATGATGTTTGTGTCTGGTCCAGTCTGGAACATTTATGCGTGCGAACAAAAACAAACAACATACAAAATGCGAGTGTGATAGAGTGTGTTCTAGAGTTGATGAAAGGGAATATATCGATACAACAACAAAAATCTAATAGGTTATTATTAGTAATATAATAACAATAATATATATATATGTGTGCATGTGTGTGTGTGTGTGTGTGCGCGCGCGCGCACGCGCACGCACACGCACACACGCACACACACTAATGGATTTCTATGGCGCCTGGTATCTACCTCGAAGCTGTTCAAACTTCAAAGTTAACCCCGGCTAACCGGCTAACTGGATATTATTATTGGGTTATAGGGATCACAAGACCATATGATCAAAAGAGCTATTTTGTAGCTTTCTATAAGTGGTTTTTCAGACTTTCAACCCTATAACTGAGTTTGTTAGGTAAAGGTCGAACAAGGGTGCTCTTTCACATTAATTTATTTCTATCAGGACCGAACATGGCGACTCTATAGTGCTTGCGTGACCTAATGAGCTCAACTTGAAGTGAATGAGGCTAAATTTACACGGGTATTATAAGGTCAGCTGGAAGATTAACAGTGAGTGAGCGAGTGAGTGAGTGTGACTTGCGAACGCTTTAACCGTTAGGCTTCCTCACTGCCCCAGGAAGAATAACAACGCGTTAATCAAGACATTAAGTGCAGTGAGCAATTACTAGCAACCATCTGTCGGCTTCATGATCTCTGGATGTTATCAGAATGAAGGCGTCATTGGTATCAATAAAACAGTACATTTCTATCATTATCTGTGACTACAGAGTCCAGCGTTCCCCTTTGGCATATGTCCAGCATACACTCAATATGGGTTCGGTGAATATTGAAACTAAACTTTTCCTCCGCATTGTTTATGGTAACCCAATGTAATGTTTTATGGTTTCAGAAATCAGAAAGAAAAGACAGTATATATAACACCGAGATAGAAATCGAACTCGAAAAGACAACCGAGACAGAGATACCACTACTCACTGATGCGGGAAAGGACAAAACTGTTTCCCATCTCCCTTCTCACATCAATGACGTGAAGGACGAACACAAGCCTTGACATGTTGTCAGTTGACTAGACACGTTAAGAAGGATGGTTCTTTCGGGATAGAACTACATGTATGCTGAATTCTCTCGTCAAATGTTCAGGTTTTGTCGACAAATATTATGACTTGACCAGGGTTCGATACTAAATTATGTTTCTTATTCAGCAAAAATGGATGCTCTATAATCGATTTAACATATTTTAAGAAATTAATCAGTAGCTTGTTGCCAGCTAAAATGACGTAATGTGGCCCTGGGGATTTTAGGAGTAGACATTTTAGAGGTTACGTTAAATAGAAGCGTCAAAACCATCTAGATAATCAAAATACATCTCTGTCAATGCTGGGGTCATTATCGATTTCTACTATATCATATCTATGGTTATCATATCTATGTGGGTGTATGATATCTATGTGTCAAAGAGTCCCTATGTTAATACCCGGTGTTCGCGTAATTGTGGCACTCGTCCTAAATACATGCAAAGGCAAGTCAATTTTTCACCTGGATAAAATTGGGAATATGTATGCATTTTGCCTACACGTCTACCATAGAAACATTGAAGCTAGATTATTTTTGCTAGCTACGGTATTGACTTTGCGCACGTCTAATGAATTTGTGAAAATGATATTCGTCAAATGACGAAAAGAGCTTACCTTTATCAGCGCTGTCATAACTTGTGTTCGTGATGTTATGTTGTTTTGAGACTGCCAGTGCACTTGTTTTGTATTTATACCAGCAGTTCATCCAAAGGGATGCCTTTCATATATAGAAATAAATTATTATATTGTAAAATGTCTTTTATTTTTATATCTCGTGTGCATGCGCGTGAGCGTGTTCGTGTGGTAACTTTGCAGGTTAGCGTACTGTGCATGGCGAACTAGATCAAATGTAGATTTAACCGTACTACATGGAATTTGGAACCGAACCAGCTCTAAAATGGAATCACTGTTTATCAAATCTTTGGTTAGAATAGGTAGATACCCAGCAGAATGTAGCGTTTAACAACGAACAAACATACAAATTCTGGATGTCTTAAAGGAGGCGGCTTCAGTGTTTTGAGTCGTAGATGGGAATAACGGTAAAATAAATACACACTGATTTAAAGAAAATATGGGACTGTATATGCTCAAAAATATTAATTTCGCATATTTGCAAGAACGGGTAAACCGGGATGACGTGAGCTTCCACACACCCCCACACCCCCACCCATAAAGAAAATAAAGCAAGCACGTCATTGCCAAGGTTTCGGGTGTATAACTACGTTACACATATTTTCCCGTGTTATCCTGGACACTGGAAAAGATGGTAACAAGTTTAAAGGAGAATACGAACGAAAACAAAACTTTTGATATGTTGTAAAGGATATTCTAAAAGTCACCTTCCGTGCTTAAATTGAGCAAAATGTTTGTAAAATAGCAATAAAAACACAAAAAACGTAATCTCTCGCCTATTACCGAAACACTCGACAGTTAATGAGCAGAGGGGGTATCACCTGACATGACATCATATGTGCCTGTTGCTGATGGCTTCCTCTTTGATTTACCTCACAACTTAACAGTGTCCATGGATTCTGAAGCAGTAAAACATGTTCCTGATGTCATTTCTGAAATGGATGTTTGCACCGTATCAATACAATCCCATTTTACATCTTGCAAGACAATCTTCAAGTGAAGATGAAGAAGAAGAATCAAGCGAAACGGAGGCATAAAAAACACCGCTTGAGGTCAAAATAAGTTTTAAAATAGACCATATCATTTAACAAGAATACTATTTGTCAGCAAAATGTGATACAGTTCCATCAGGCAAACCCACCCCTATAAATATATGACCAGTCCCTAACAATTATTTTTTTTGAAATGTGATTGCAGTTCCTTTTGTGTCAAATGGGTGACTGTAGGGTGCCTGGGATTTAAAAACAAAATAATTATGCTTCAGACGGGGTAAAATAGAAATTATCTGCTACAAAAATTACACTGGAATTATTTTGTTGAAAAAAACTAGGATCCTAGTTCTCATTAATAACGTATCAAGTCTCCATACAAGATCCCAGCCTGGTCGAGGAAAGATAATATTCGCGACGCAGATAAGTTATTCCCCGAAAACTGGTGAGTTATAAAATACTAGTCAGGACAATGTATGTTTCCCCAGTGTTTGGTTATGGAAATAGTTATGGTACTCGGTCATAGCCTTAGAATGACATCTTGTCAGCAATGAGAATACAGAACAACTTTCACGGCACACACTACGAACAAATAGCGAGTCTGATGCCGACGTGCGTAATTGGACAAAATGGAAAACAATGAAAGCAACAAGTACGTCATGATTTGCCGTTGTATTCGGCATTGTATTCGGCAATGTTTCAGGTAGACTGCATCATTTAGGTCTCCAAACCGAAAAGAACGTTATAGCGAAACATTTTCAAGCTCATGTTAAATCTCTTACTGATTTTGATAATATATATCTATATGGGTACCAGTCGAACTGCCCCAGCTACAAAATTACCCAGCAAATTTAGTCATTCATTCTAATTTGGTCAAATTTAATTGAAATGATTAAATATATGCCGTAAATGCATAGTTTTTGTCAACTTTGATATTATGTTCTTTATATAAACGCAGATTACAGAAACTGTTTTCGCGATAAAAACATAATAACCCAATATTTTGTAAATAAATATTGGGGTACATGTTTCTGATGACTTTATCTCTCACTCAGCAAATTATTGCAATTGTCTAGTATCCTCCTTTAAATGATATATAATGAATGATGCCTCAAATGGATCCACATCACACCGAAGACACATCTAGATGATTTTTTCCAGAAGTTGTTGATTCTTTGTACAGTTATTTCAAATATGATCACAACATTGAAGTATGGGTACGAAAAAGCAATACAATATTTACTTGAACACTATCTCTTTAAAGGCGATACGTTAAACTTCTTAATCAGTTTACATCATCGGGCTAAACTCTAGAAACATCTTTGAAATAGACTCGTCACTGACAATTATGCAGATATGCTTCATCACGCGCAGACCTTTGAATCGCTCGAGTTTCAGATGAAGTCTTCAGATTCGACACATGCATAATGATATAGTCAGTCACGCAGGTGTTTCACATTCTGCCTGCTTGAAGACGGCTTTGGTAGGTGAGTATTCTTATGATAACAGTTTGCATTGTCAAGGTACGATTAACTAGAGATGTGGGACAGTTGTTGTTGTTTGTAGGAAAGTGGTAGTGATACTGGCAGTTTCAGTTGGAGTCAGTCTTATTAAAATCTGATCTTCACCTCGATACACCTCCCGGTGAAGTTTTGAGAACACCTTCAAATCCGGTCGCAGGGTACGAACGAACGACCTCATTTCTGACCTCCGTGGCATCTACACCAAAACGTGAGTACCATGGTATGTGACTGACTCAGGAATCCATTCGCCCTCCTTTGTGATATTGCTTCTTGACCTTCTATTGAGGGGATCTCAGAGACCAGATTGTCTCGGTGAATTTTATGAGAGATCGTTATGAGATTACCTTTGAGTAATAGCCAGCGGATGTAGCTTTAAGCACCGGCCAGTGAAATAGCATAAATAGTTGTTATGAGATGTAAAATGATGACGTCGAAGTGTGACAAACTTGAAATTTGCATCTGTTGTTTACACTTTCATATATGTCGGTCTGCTCAGAGGGATTCTTGTGTAGAAGAATGGGGTCACCCCAAAAGGTCAAAATGCTCTAGAGTCATATCATTCAAAGACATTTTTTATATATTTCTAAAGGACTTGGTTTTACTTACTTTCATAATTTCTTTCATGATTTCTGTTGAGTTTGTATTTGAGGAAATATGTATTAATGACGATTTGACAATACTGTTAATCATAGTTTCCCTTTCCTCAAAATGGAACATTGATGCTCAAAATGTCAATCACTGGATTATCTGGTTCTAGACCATTATTGACACGCCGCCGTCATATAGCTGGAATATTGCTGAGTACGGGGTTAAACAACAAACCAACCAATCATCCCCAAGACAGGATCACTCAAGAGTAAAATTTAGGGTTCGTGACTTTAACCTAGGACACTGGTGTAATTGGTGCGAACAATTTCTCGTAAAGTATGATGTGTTTCCAAGTAATGTTCTCTCGGGCAATAGTTCCATGGTTCACAGATTAATATTTTCACATCTAACGATGGATTCCTGCTTTCGACTGATTCCATGGCCAAGTCAAGGCCAAGGTTCTAAGGCCAACATTGTTTTTAAGGAACTGATGTCTGGTAGATATATGTGTCTCTTCATAACTGTGATTGAAAGTAAATATAACATTTGAACCGATAACGCTTTTGCGTCTAAGGAAATGAGCTCGACTAAGAAACAAAAACGGTTGGTACGGCTTTGTTGTCCTTATTGCAAGTGCGATTCACAGTTGTATGGACACTTATTTGCAAATCGATTATTTAATATTCTATCAACATTTATTCGTCATTTTCCCTTTAAAAAGTTATATTTTTAGGCTTGCAAAAGGAACCTTTTATTAGCGAATTTGCAAGTTTTGAAATGGTAACTATATTGTCTCAAAAACATACTTGTATATCTTATGAGCGAGTGAATATAGCTCTACGCCGCTTTAAGCAATATTCCAGCAATATCACGGCTGGGGACACCAGAAAGGGGCTTCCCATCGTACCCATGTAGGGAATCGAACCTGTGTTCGGCGTGACGAGCGAACGCTTCAACCACTAGGCTACCCCACCGCTTGTTACATTTCGATGTGATGATGATACGATGATCAGCTTGTAAGAGTAAGACGTGAAAAAGTCCATGTATACCTCTTGATGGTTAGGGTAAGTACATGTCAGTCCAGATTTGAGGAGGTCATTATGCGACGATGTCGCATTGGCCATACGCGTTATACTCACAAATACTTGTTAAAAGGTGAAGATCCTCCGTTTTGTATCCCTTGTGATGAGAGAATCACGGTCAAGCATGTCCTTCTTGACTGTGTTGAATTCTCCATCATAAGGGATAAATATTTCAATTTGAAAACAGTTAAGGATCTTTTTACCACTGTTAATTTTCGTTTAATTATTGTTTTTTAAGAAATTGATTTAATTGATGAATTCTGATTAATATGATCTGTAGATAGATGTATTTTAATGATTTGTAGTTTAGATTAGTAACTTAGATTGTTGGTGGCTGTACCCTCAATGGGGCTTAAAGGATTGTAAAATTATTGTCCTCCTGAGAGGGTACGTAAGTCCCGAAACATTTAAAGTAAATTTGAACTTAGTAGAATTTTTGTTATTTTAAATTATGGCTAACTTTCCTACAATCGCCAGTGGCTGAAGGGGTGTTGTAAATCCAGCTAGGGTCCATGCAGGTAGCAAAGGTACTGTAAGTCCCCATGGTCCCTAGTATGGTGATCTACCTTCAGTTGTTGGTGATCTCTTGCCCGTTTTTAAATATTATTGTATATATACACATACATACACACATGCACACATACACATACATATATACATACATACATACATACATACATACATACACATACATATATATATACATGTGTTGTTACATTTATATATACATATATATATTGTATTTTTACATACAAAATTTGTTTACTTTCACAGTGACATGCTAGTTTTAATTATCTATCTGCGATAATCTAGTTATTTTACTGTCCTTCGTCGACAGCTTTTTTTATGATTTGATTGCATTTATTATGAATTTGTAATTTGTTAAAGTAACGATATGGTGAAACATTGCCGATGTGACTATAAATCTTAACTCACACACTCACTAGGGTTAGTACTGCGCACTGATTTTTATTATTGTCATATGATATCATATACTGGAGCCAAATGGGAATTTTGTTTTTATTGTAATATGCTTACTCTTATCAATGTTTCTGTGAACCGTAAATGTAGATACATTTAAAACGCAACTTTTTAAAAGTTACAATTGATATTAGCGCCCTGAATATGAGTCTCAATACCTCTGCTCGTGGATTTAAAGTAAGTGGTAGACGCTTAAAACTGTTTGGTTTTCTTGAAACTAAACAGGCAACGTATAATACAAGTACTATTCAACTGGCTATTAAACCAAACAAGCACACTCATTCACTAGGCACAGTTTTGACACTTCAGAGTCTGTTAATCATCATCTTACACACAATTGGTACCAATTGTTCAAATGGTTCTTAAACCAAACACACTCACTCCCTGGGGCCATTATGGGCATTTCAGAGATCATCCAGCAAATCTTCGAAGACAATCGGCACCAGCAGTTCAAATGGTAGTTATTCAAAATACACTTTGGACACTTCAGAGACCATCCGTGGCCTCCTTAAACACAATGGCCACCAACAGTTCCAGTGGGTGTTAAAAAATACGCTCGCTCACTTGGGACATTTTGACACTTCAGAGACCATTTATCATCTGCTTTAAATCAAATGGGCACCAACAGTACCGATGGACGTAGAAAATACACTCATTTGGGACAGTTTGGACACTTCAGAGACCACCCATAGCTGCCTTAAACATAATGGGTACCAACAATTCCAGTGGTCGCTAGACCAAACACACTCACACATTCACGGGGGGACATATGGACACTTCAGAGACCATCCATCACCTTTTTGAACACAATCGGCACCATCAGTTCAAATGGCAGTTGCTGAAAATAAACTCACTCACTTCAGTCATTTTGGATACTTCAGGGAAATAAGGCCTTTCCTCTTTGAACACACTGGCACCAACACTCTCTCACTGGGGACATTTTTGACACTTCAGAGTCTATTAATCATCTTTGTAAACACAATGGGTACAATTATGGGCACATCAGAGATCATCCATCACCTCTTTGAACACAATGGGCACCAACAGTTCAAATGGAAGTTACTCAAAATACGTTCACTCACTGGGGTCATTTTGGACACTTCAGAGACTACCAATCTCCTTCTTAAACACAATGAGTACCAAAAGTTTAAATGGGTCATTAAACCAAATACAGTTGGCATTTTGGACACTTCAGAAACAACCCATCACCTACTTAAACACAATGGGCACCTACAGTTCAAATGGTCCTTAAACCAAACACACACACTCACTCACTGGGGTCATTTTGGACACTTCAGAGACCACTATATACACAATGGACACCAACTCTTCCAAAGGCCGTTAAACCAAATAGATTGACTCACTGGACACATTTTTGACACTCCAGAGACCGGTTATCATCTCCTTGAACGCAATGGGTACCAATATTATTTGTTCACATGACCGTTAAACCCAATGCTCAATCACTGATGTCATTTTGTACACTTCAGAGACGGAACCCACCATAAGCATCACATGATTCTCCCTTGCAAAGGTTCATTTGGCACGATAGCAACAGAAATCGAATTACAATGGTCAGCCGCCACAGCTTCCACATCGTCGACTACGTGGTCTTCGGCGCCACCGTCCTCATCTCACTGGGGATAGGACTCTACTTTGCTCTGTCTGGTGGACGCCAGAAAACAACGGCCGAGTTTCTGGTCGGCGGTCGTGCTATGAAGTTTCTCCCCGTGGCCTTGTCGTTGATGGTGTCGTTTGAGTCGTCGATCATGATGCTGGGCATTCCTGCTGAGGTGTACGTGTACGGGGCTCAAGTCTGGATCGGAATGTTCGGCTGGTTGACGGTGCTTCTCCTCACCAACAGAGTTCTTGTACCAATGATTCACCCACTGAAAATCACCAGTGCTTATGAGGTATGGCTGTGTCTAGATTTGGGTAAACTTAGGTGAGTGAGGGAGTTTAGTTTTACGCCGCACTCAGCAATATTCCAGCTATATGGCGGCGGTCTGTAAATACTCGTGTCTGTACCAGACAATCCAGTGATCAATATCATGAGCATCGATCTACGCAATTGGTATACGATGACATGTGTCAACCAAGTCAGCGAGCCTGACCATCCGATCCCGTTAGTCGAAACTTGCGACTAGTATTGATTACTGAACATTCTAACCCGGAACTTTAAACTTAAAGGAACTTTAAACTGGCATCGTTATAAATGTCAACATTATAAACATCGATCAAAGGATTAACCGATAACACGCTGATTGATTAATTACTTTTATCTTACACAGCGGAATTGTCAAAGGTAGTGTTTATGTATGTAGATTTACTAATCTATACTGAATACACTCTGTCGTGTCGGTGTCTGCGTAAAACAACGTCCTTCTTTCAAAGGATTAACCGGCAATACATTGATTGATTGCCCATTATTGGCTAACTAAATTACTGTTTTAAAGAAAGGCGGACATTATGCAATTAGTTGCCAGGTGTGCTATCTTGGGTGACCAATGAGACTATACACCAATACCTGAAAAGATTTATCACTTTTCGTATATTAAACTGTTAAAAGACACATCATTTGGAACAGTTTTGTGGATATTGATGGATACATTCCTCGAACAAGGTAATGGCCTGATATTGTTCCTATAACTTTAATCTGTTTTAATTTTAATATTTGCATTTTGATTTTATTCATTTGTCGTAGCATTCAACAGAATCATTGTTTTCGCCGTGAAGTGTAATGAGTCAGACAACATGCACTAGGGTGTGTGTGCGAATTATGATTCACATTGGCAAACTATAAAATGTCTAGATATTACAGTTCTGTTATAAATTCACTATAAGTATCAGCAGATCGTCTGCTTTTTATTTAGTTTCAAAATGCATACAAGTATGATAATAAACTAATTAGGATTATAAGACCAAATATAAAGACGCACATTGACTAGTATCTACATACTGGTGAGTGGACATTAACCATGGGAATGTAGCAAGAAATTTATCGCGCAGTATTGTGACTTCGACCCCCACCTCGCTTCCGTGGAAGAAATCGTTATGTTATAAGTTGTGTCATGCAAAATCCGTTTGGTTATGATTCCAATACATATTTAACTACGAGTAGAAAGTAGTCTTGATTATCTAACTTGATGAAAACAAACTATAATCTCATTAATTCTAACAGATTTTTTTTATTTTTAAAAATGGCGGCGCCCTGTCGGGAACATCCGCCAGTCTGAGGATAAATGGTATTTAGGTTTGTTTTCACCGAGTTACAAAATCAAAACTACTTTCTACTGGTAGTAAAATATGTATTTTATTGATGGCCAATAGGATTTTGCATGACATAGCGTATAACATAACAATTTCTCTCGTGGCAGCGAGGTGGGTGTCAATATAATACTACTTACAATATTATTGTTACTTCGACCACAACCTCACTTCCGAGGAAGAAATCGTTATGTTACAAGTTGTGTCATAGAAAATCTTTATGGTCATCAATCATATGCATATTTTACAACAACTAGTAAGTAGTTTTGATTCTTTAACTTCAGTGAAGCGATCTGAACACAAGTAAGATATCGTTTCAGGCTTCCACAACGCTCGCTTCGCACTCACAAACATAACCGATTTAGCACGAACTGCGGGGTCCTGTGGAAATCTGTGCATGGGGACACCATCGCCCGACCCCTAGGAGCAATTGACGACAAAGCAACGATTCAAAATGATGAGCGCGCTACACATTTTCTATACAACTAACTGAAAATCGTTCCTCATATGACGTCACTGCAGTGCTCTGGCGACAGAGTTACGTAACCTGTCTGTGGTTTCGTTGGCGGGCGAGAGAGAAGCAGGCGACTTTTTGGCCACTTTTAATCGCTCGGTATTAATTAACCACAAGTTTTTAAAGAATAAATTTGGTGTTCCGCATAAGACTAACCACAAATCTTTCATATGTAATGGTTAAAAGAGTAACAAAAAACAAAGTTTAGTGGTTCTTTAAGAAATGGGCACAGCATTTAGAATTCGTTGCAAACAAGAAACGATTGTTCCTTACTTAATTATTTTGTCAGCTTGGCAAAAAGTACCTTTATTTCTATTTCTCAGGATATTAGGACCCGTGGAGATCTTCAGAAAATCATGATTGTCGTAAGAGGCGACTAACAGGATTGGGTGGTCAGTCTCGTTGGCTCGGTTGACACGTCATCGTATCCCAATTGTGTAAACCATGCTCATGCTGTTGATCACTGGATTTTATTGTATGACAAATGGTATCTAACAGACACTCGTGTACATGTAGTAGTCTCTTTAAGGTACTCGAACCGGATTTAAGGGCAGAATATGTACATGTCTACACTAACACTGAAAATACAATATATACACTGTATACAGCGAGCGCGTGTAATGACTCTGATATTTGCAGATTTACATTTTAACGAGTCTCTATGTTGATTGGTCATTTGAAGCCCATGGGCATTTTGCCAAAATTGAGATTCCTTGTACATGGCGTCACAAATAGATTACGTCACAAACTAATTACATGACGTCATCTGACCAATGGCCCACATTCAATGAAATTTCTCCGTAGAATAGCCATTGCATATAATTATCCTTTGTATTCTCGCTTGAAATGTCAATGAGTAATATGTAACCGACTCGGATTTCAGTGTTACGGATTATCTGTCCCTCGTGAATAGAAGTTGTTAATTAAGCCAAACAATACTCATATATAAAATTAGAAAGTTCATCGCCAAAGGCTCGTAATTAATACTGTTCCTTATCTGGTGACAGATAATCAATAATATCTTGTGTCACGTCGGTAAATCCTCCAATAATCCTTCAATAATCTTCCAATAATCACAACTGCTTGCATTGTTTCAGTACCTTGATGGCCGTTTCAACTCCCGCGCCATTCGACTTATTGGGACGACCCTTGGAATATTACACTATGTAAGTGTGAAACAAATCTTAACATTACTCTCTTTGTATATTTAGTGTTAGATGTTTGGCTTATAAATAATGGGGTTTGAGGGGTTTTGTAAATGTGCATATATTGTCATTGTTGTTTTCTCATGTCTTAAATATTGTGTTCTTATGTTCTGAACTCTGATGTACACACAATTCCCTTTCGGGCAATAAAGCATTATCTTATCTTATCCTAAGTTACGGTATTTCCCGTACTGACAGAAATGTAATTGCACAAAGACACTGTGGAGCACACTCTACTAACAAGGTGACACTTTAACTAATTAGAGCAGTCGGTGGCCTATCATGGACTTGTAACTTTCTTCAGTTAAAAGTGATTACTATCCATCTTTATACCCGTGAAGATCTGGGTTAGAATTGGTCTTCAGCACCCAGTTGTTGTCAGGGCCTGGCTCCGAATGTGAAGTGTATCTGAGTGAGTGAGGATGGTTTTACGCCGCTTTTAATAATATTCCAGTATTATCACGTCGGCGGACACAGAAAAGTGCTTCACGCATCGTGCCCATGCAGGGAAACGAACCCGGGTCTTCGCAGCATTAACCACTAGGCTACCCCACCGCCCCAAAGTGTACCTGACAAGGATGGTATTGATCGCTGTTACTTTCCGGCCACTGTTACTGGTCAAGTTTATATCATTCGTTCAGCGAGTTTCTTTCTCAATGCACATGTTAAGGATTCTTTTTCATTCAAACAGGTACTTCAGAATTTAATTAAAATTATAATTTAATTAGAATTAAATGTCATAGTGTACAACCACCAGTACGTTCAGGGAGTTGTCGGTTAGTCCAGTTGTCAGTGTGGTCGCTTGCCACACAGACGTTCCGTGTTCAGTTCCCTGCTCATCACGGGTAGTTTTACAGCGCCATGACAGGCTTTTCTACTATAGAATTGAGACAAAAACAAAGACAAAAACTTTTAAGAAAAGACAGAATTTTTCTTTGAAAACGGTTTAGTGAAAGGGAGATAACCCAAACAAAATATTGAAAACATTCCCTGTTAGCAAATGCACATCGATCAGTGCGATGGCATCAGTAATGGGACGGTGAGTATATTAGTGGCCAAAGCAGTAAGACTCGATATGAGTAGGACTCATTTTTCAGAACTGACTAAAAATTGACAAACACACACACACGTACACGGAAACGCACACGCAGTGTTAGTCTTGCACAAATCTCAAACGAAATAATTAAATAGTTTAAATGATAATTTCTAAAAAATATAAAGAAAAAGAACACATAGTCCTCTAACAGACTAGCGTCCTTAGATTGTATTGTCCGATTATCTAGACTTGCCTCTTTAAAGGGAAGATAGTCACCATATTGCTGAAATACTGCCGATGTGACTTTAAATATTAACTCACTCACTTTAACACGTTGACTGCCACCACGAGTATACTCATAGTATCAATTCTAGCCGAATTTGCCACTACGAGTTGTCTCGTAGCTTTATCAGTGGTATGTTAAACAAGTTTCACATGTTGGCAAAAGGGGCACAAGAAGCAATCGTCTCCTGGCGGTAACAAAGAACGCCAGGAGACGTTTGTTTTTTGTGCCTATTTAAATACCACTGATGTAGCTACGAGATAACTTGAAGTGGCAAATTCGGCCAGAATTGATACTACGATTATACCCGTGATAGGCAGTCAACGTGTTAAAGAGTAGAACAACTATACATCCATGGGCTTAGTAAGCAGTACAGCCTTGGAGCAAAAGCTTACCCAATATGTTCATAATGAACCTAAAGTCTGTGAATAATTGACGATGGTGTGTTCTTTGTTTAAGATATTCTACATGGGTGTCGTGTTATTTGGGCCAGCTATTGCAATCGAAGCGGGTGAGTATGTTAAGGGAGCGCACCTGTTGCGGCAAGTTGTTGGGTGTTTTTCTTTATTATGATATGGTAAACATTAGGGGTGGGTATTGCAGAGAATTTTCATATTGCGATATATTGCGATGCGGAAGCATATATTGCGATATGTATTGCAATATATTGCAAGGATTATTTTTTTAACAAAAACTACTTATAATCGAGTTAATGCTTGATTATAAGTCAAAACACAACAAAATCACTATGATTGATTAACAGTTTATAAAAACTTTTAATCATGACAAAATAAAAATGTAATTAACATTTGGCACTAATGAAACAGGGAAAAGAACAATTAAAAAAACGGAAATATCCGAAGATTTCCGAGTGTTCCGAATGCATGTCAAAATACCGGTTTTCGATCAGTGTATCGCAATACGTATCGTTTTCGTGTCTGAATAGGTAAATACCGGTAAACCGGTTATATTGCGCAGCCCTAGTAAATATATCTATGTACATCATAATATTCAGTTCGGGGTCCTTTCTTCTTGCACTTATAAAATAAGAAATACCAATTTTAGATCTCAGCAGCATAACGAACTACGGGGGAAAAGAAAGTTTACATTTGAAGAATGGATTTGATCAAAAACTTACAAACACCGTTAAAACGTTACTGGGTTGAAAACAGTCGCCAAAACATTACAAACTATGAGTATCACACACAACTGTGATAATCGTATCAAATGAATAAAAGACTATTGTTTCGAGCTGTTTCTTTATTGAACAGTAATCAGCGTTGTCCTGTAGTGTAGTTTTAGCATGCGATAAATCATTGTTACAGAGCCTGAAGGAAGGGTCGGGGTCGTTTAGTCATATCGGTCGTGTACAAGGTTCAGTTTTATAAACGTTCGAGTTTTGATATCGCATTCCGAATTTTGCGCCTTGGTCATTGCAGACAGTTGTAGTAATAGTGAGTGAGTGAGTGAGTTAGTTAGTTGGGGTTTAGCAATATTCCAGCAATATCACGGCAGGGGACACCAGAAAAGTAATAATATATATGTTGTTAGAGACGAGTGGTTGTTTTGTTGTTGTTCAACGCCACACTCATATACCAGCTATATAACGTTGCCTGGTGATATTCGCGTCGAGACAGGCTAGTGGTTAACGTGGCGCAGTGTGAAGCCAATTTCTTGTTTTCTCTGGAATATTGAAAGACCGCCATCAGCCAAGACACAACGCCTGACGTCCCCTCCGTCTGTGCCGTTGGCGTTCTAACCCGTCACCGGGCGGTGGGGTAGCCTTGTGGTTAAGGCGTTCGCTCGTTCGATTCCCTACGTGTGTACAATGTGTGAAGCGAATTTCTGGTGTCCCCTGCCGTGATATTGCTGGAATGTTGCTAAAAGCGACGTAAAACTAAACTCACTCACTCTAACCCGTTGTCACTGCGGCGTTAATTCCACGCGTAAAGGTTGAGCTATTTAAAACAATTGTTTAAGCAATATCATCAAAATCATGATACGAGAGATTCCCCCAAACAATTTCGCACTAGGTGAATAAAGCACTGAAGCTTCTAAATTCTCTAAAGGATTACTATCTGATATCTATTTCTCGAAAATAGACACAAATGGGCAGTTGAGAATGTACATATAGGTCGCGTTAATATTGTTCATGCTCTTTGAGTATTGATCCAGCTGGTTCAGAACATCAAGGTATTATTGTACAAAAAGGTAGCTCTATCAAATTGATATTAGTGCCCTCAAAGGTTTTCTCATGTTATGGTCAAATGTCCGAATAAAAGAGAAAAGAAACGAAGCTTAATCGTTTTAGATAGCTGACACCTGATTGGCTCAAGAGCCTACGGATCGAATATTGAGATGTGGCTCACAACACAACCTCCTACGGGTGTGTGTTATTGAAGTTAAAGATCGGATTTTAATGTGATTTGCAGTTTAAGCACTGTAAACATAAACCCAGGCAATTACAAATTAAAGTAACTATTTGAGACATGTTATGTAGGGTTGCGTATGAAACGTGACGCGGAAACGGATTAAGATCAGAAGACTGTACAATTGTAATTGAATATCACCCAGTAAAAATGTTCAAACAATTATGTGCCACATTCTGATTTCAGTGACTGGATTCCCTCTGATTTGGTCCATAATACTGGTTGCATCAGCCGCAATAATGTATACGTCTATGGTACAGTATTGAGCCTATCGCATGTTGACACCGTCACTAGCATCCTTCAAAGATCCGGGTTAGAATTGATCTTCAGTCACCCATGTTTGTCATAACAGGCGACTAACGGGATCGGGTGGTCAGGCTCGCTGACTTGGTTGGCACATGTCATCGTATCTCAAATGCGTAGATCGATGCTCATGCTGTTGATCACTGGATCGTCTGGTCCAGACTCGATTATTTACAGATCGCCGCCATATAGCTGGAATATTGCTGAGTAAGGCGTACAAACTCACTCACTCCTTCAAATCCCAATTTCAACCTTTTTGTTCCAACACGTCACTTCCGGTTCTATAATTGTTTGTATGTATGTACTATATGTAATATGATGTTACGCTTTGACCAGAGACGATTTTTCCGAAGAGTTTAGCTATAACAATGCCACCAGAAGTTGATATAACAGTAGTTCCTTATACACATTTCGATATACGGCAAGTGACAAGTTCATTATAAGCGTTGTCGTTATATGCGTGCATAACTGGATTTCATATACTGATGGATAAATAATAAATATAATAATATACACCAGTGGTTGTTACATACTGGGAGCGGTGGGGTAGACCAGTGGTCGCTCGTCACGCTGAAGACCAGGGTTCGATTCCCCACATGGGTACAATGTGTGAAGCCCATTTCTGGTGTCCCCCGCCGCGATATTGCTGGAATATTGCTAAAAGCGGCGTAAAACAAAACTCACTCACTCACTCTTCCACTCATGAAATTGTTGTATCCTTCTGGGTCACTCCCAGCCCATGGAACTTCCGCTTAGAATATATCTCCCCTCCCCAAAACCCCAATAGGCTCGGTGACTTGGGGTAGCTGAGTGTGATCCTGTGCTTACTGACTGGTGGGATGTCCATCATCGGATTGTTTGATCCAGGCTCGATTATTAAGAGACATATACCTGGATCATCAGAAAAGCAAAACAAGAAGTCATTGTGGAGCCCATTTCTGGTGTCCCCAGCTGTGATATTGCATGGTAACATACATAACAGATCGCGTAGACCTGAAAACAATATCTATTTTTGAAGGACTTTTACGTATTGACTTGTGTTTCCTTCAGGGTGGACTTAAGGCTGTTATTTGGACTGACGTATTCCAATGTATCATCATGTTCTCTGGGATGTTTGCCGTTCTCATCAAGGTAGGACAATAGAAAATATCTTTCAGTTAAGTCATTAGTACCATGCAGGTAAACAGTACGTATACGTAGCCATGCAGGGACAGTATTTATTAGTAATCGTACAGGTAAAACGGTACTAACTGGTAATCATACAGGTAAAACAGTATTTATTAGTAATCGTACAGGTAGAACAGTAGTAATTAGTAATCGTATAGGTAAAACAGTATGTATTAGTAATCGTACAGGTAGAACAGTAGTAATTAGTAATCGTATAGGTAAAACAGTAGTAATTAGTAATCGTATAGGTAAAACAGTATGTATTAGTAATCGTACAGGTAGAACAGTAGTAATAAGTAATCGTATAGGTAAAACAGTAGTAATTAGTAATCGTACAGGTAAAACAGTAGTAATTAGTAATTTGCAGATAAAACAGTACTAACTGGTAATCGTACAAGTAAAACAGTATTTATTAGTAATCGTACAGGTAGAACAGTAGTAATTAGTAATCGTATAGGTAAAACAGTAGTAATTAGTAATCGTATAGGTAAAACAGTAGTAATTAGTAATCGTATAGGTAAAACAGTATTTATTAGTAATCGTACAGGTAGAACAGTAGTAATTAGTAACCGTATAGGTAAAACAGTAGTTATTAGTAATCGTACAGGTAGAACAGTAGTAATTAGTAATCGTATAGGTAAAACAGTTGTAATTAGTAATCGTATAGGTAAAACAGTAGTAATTAGTAATCGTACAGGTAAAACAGTAGTAATTAGTAATCGTATAGGTAAAACAGTAGTAATTAGTAATCGTACAGGTAAAACAGTAGTAGTTGGTAATTTGCAGATAAAACTACTGACTGGTAATCGTACAGGTAAAACAGTATTTATTAGTAATCGTACAGGTAAAACAGTAGTAATTAGTAATTTGTAGATAAAACAGTACTAACTGGTAATCATACAGGTAAAACAGTATTTATTAGTAATCGTACAGGTAGAACAGTAGTAATTAGTAATCATATAGGTAAAACAGTATGTATTAGTAATCGTACAGGTAGAACAGTAGTAATTAGTAATCGTATAGGTAAAACAGTAGTAATTAGTAATCGTATAGGTAAAACAGTATGTATTAGTAATCGTACAGGTAGAACAGTAGTAATTAGTAATCGTATAGGTAAAACAGTAGTAATTAGTAATTTGCAGATAAAACAGTACTAACTGGTAAAAACAGTACTAAGTAAAACAGTATTTATTAGTAATCGTACAGGTAGAACAGTAGTAAGTAAGTAATCGTATAGGTAAAACAGTAGTAATTAGTAATCGTATAGGTAAAACAGTAGTAATTAGTAATCGTACAGGTAAAACAGTAGTAATTAGTAATGTCGTATAGGTAAAACAGTATTTATTAGTAATCGTACAGGTAGAACAGTAGTAATTAGTAAGTCGTATAGGTAAAACAGTAGTAATTAGTAATCATACAGGTAGAACAGTAGTAATTAGTAATCGTACAGGTAAAACAGTTGTAATTAGTAGTCGTATAGGTAAAACAGTAGTAATTAGTAATCGTACAGGTAAAACAGTAGTAATTAGTAATCGTATAGGTAAAACAGTAGTAATTAGTAATCGTACAGGTAAAACAGTAGTAGTTGGTAATTTGCAGATAAAACAGTACTGACTGGTAATCGTACAGGTAAAACAGCATTTATTAGTAATCGTACAGGTAGAACAGTAGTAATTAGTCATTTGCAGATAAAACAGTACTAACTGGTAATCAAACAGGTAAAACGGTACTAATTAGTAATCATGGAGGTTTTACAGTACTAACTGATAGCCATACAAACAGATCAGTACTTATTGGGGCGTGGTTGGCGAGCTGTCTAAAGCGCCAGACTAGTGATCCAGCGAGTTTAAGGTGCCGCGATCGAGTCCACTTGTGACGGGGTGTCAAAACCTTGGAGTCGACTCTGTGTGCAGACTCTTTCAGTGTTGTCACAACCCCTAGTGTACAGTACACAACCCTGTGCACTTAAAAGAACCCAGATGGTGGCCACATGAGTTGCGGGGACAGCAACGTGCAGTAACGCTTGTACAAAGTACTGTGACTATGTGTCCCGGTTCACCCAGATGTGAATGGGTACCTCGAAGGGATGGGAAAGCCACATGAACTTGTGGCTGCACGAGTTGTATGATCCCCAGGGAGTTGAGATTGAAACATACGATGTGCCGTTGAGATTGACATCCAATGATCGAAGGGAAAACAGAGCATGCGTGTACATGGGATGGACTATAGCGCTATATAAATACCCATATAATATATAATGTTATACAATTGTCCGTGAAGCTCCGGGTTCGAATTGGTCTTCAGCATCCCATTTTGTTGTCTTAGGAAGCGACTAACGGGATCATGATGTCAGGGTGTCGGACTTGGTTGATGCATATCATCATGTCCCAGTCGATCACTGGATTGTCTGGCCCATGCTCGATTATGTATAGGCCGTCGTCCTATAGCTTGGATATTGCTGAATAACCTGTTTAACAAAATCACACAAAACAAAAAACAGAGAAGTATTGTTTGTTTAAACACCTGCTTTAGACCAACGGAATTCTCTGAAAGCTTCAACACGATCTGGTGGCCTGGTCATTGGATAAAAGTATCTTGTGGTTAAATATACACGTGGGAAAAAGTATCGCAACACCTTAAACATTTTTCTCTCAATATCTTAAGAATTGCCACATAACAACGTTAGGAAAATAAATGAAAACAATAGCCTAGTACGTGTCTCAAACGCAACAAGTCATGATGCACGTGCTGCTGGTAACACGTGTGGAGCATATGAAACACTTGCAGCCCTCGTGTCATGAAAATAGAGTTTCAGTTACCATTCACTCTTGTTACGAAACTGAACTAAAACGCATACTTGTTGTCTTAACCCACTCTATGGAACCCCCTCAACTAACGTCAGCCATAGATGGCAAGTTATGGTATGGTTAATGCCGGGTTGTCCATGAAACAAATTGCCAGGCAATTAGGTCACCACCCCTCAACAGTCAGTCGATTAGTGACGAAATATCACCAACAAACGATTTATAGGATCTGCATCGTTGAGGCAGACCACGCAAGACATCAGTTAGACAAGACGCAGACCTACTTAGACTTGTTCGGCGATTTCCCTTTGCACCAAGTCCAATGTTAAAACGGCAAAACTGTTATAAAAAAAAAAACGCCGGGTATAAGACCAGGAGACCTGTCCGACGACCTTTCTTAACACGTGCCCACGGTGAAACCTGGCTTCTTGGAGGTAGATCCATTTTTGCAGACGAGAGCCGGTGTCTGTTGTTAGTTTCTGACGGGAGGACGCCTGTATGGCGACGGAGGAACATGGCATATGCTCAATGGAACATCCTGGAAAAAGTTCCATTCGGTGAAGGTTCCTCGATAGTATGGGTCTGTGTGTCGTATGACTGCAAACTTAAATCTGAATGGACAAAGATACCAAAAGGAAATCTTGAGGAGGCGTGTAGTGCCTAAGTTAGATAATCATCCCCTATTAACAAGGCCAATCTTTATGGATGACAGCAGGAAGCCATTAAACCCTTCCATGGACAACCAAAAGCCATAATGTGAACTCTATCGAGCACGTTGAGGACCATTCTCTTCCCACAGAGGTTACTCCTGTCATATCTTCTTACGTAGGAAGATATGACAGGAGTAACCTCTGTGGGAAGAGAATGGTTGAGGACATTCTGGGGCGTAAGGACTATGCATCGTGTGACACGTTTGGGATGACCATACTTTTATTGACACATTATGTTATCTTAATTTCAGTTTTATTACCGGACAAATTATACCATTCAGATTATTTATCGTTGGCTTTTGTGTTAATGTCTTTTCAGCACTTTGGCTACAAAATAATTTCCTGTGAAGACGCACATGAGATATAAACTGTGATTAAATATAGGTCCTGTCATAAAACAACTGGGTGTTGCGATATTTTTTTCCATCTGTATATAAAATATTCAAAGGTATTCAAAATTATATAATTAAATTGAATTGTGTGTCGTGATAAATACGATGTTATCTGGTTTCTGGCTATGCTTGTCAAAAAGAAATTAAACCTCTCATTATTTTCTCATTTTACGTGAATGGTCCTGAACATCATCTCAATTATAATTCCTGTGATCGTTTTGGGAATTAGAATTTACTAACATAATGACAATCTATATACCCAAACCCGTTCGATGACACCACTGGGAAATATTAGTTGCTTTTAACCGCCGAGGCAAAGTCGGGCCGGATACAGACCATCGCTTCTGTTGCGAAACAGGGCTCAGTTTACCAGTTTACTTTAAAGGCACAATGTCACAAATTCGCGACAATATTTTAATATTTTATATTGGGAAATATGCACTCACGTTAGCTTATTATTGACGTAACAAAAGACTTATTATTCCTTACGACTTGCCTGAAATCGATTATTGAAACTTCGAGGCAGAGAACAGCTTCCATACAAAGAACATTTGCCAAATATCGAATGTAAATAATTTCTCCGTACATAGAAAACTGTCGCACGCGGTGTTCTCGGTGTTTGCCCAACTGGTTGTGCGTAGGATATTCGTAAAGAGCGCTCGAAGGGACGTTATTCTATGGGGTTCGCTTGTAATAATGTAGAGGGCGCGAGAGTCGATTTAATGCAACGTTGCATTAACTCATTCGAACGTTTTAACTTAATATTGTAATCTAAATACGTATTTTTTTAAAATATATTATAAGGTAGCTTCACTGAGGGCTGATAGTATCATTGAGAGAAATCCTTTATGTATTTTTAGAGAAGTGTGGTGCGACATTGTGCCTTTAACAACGATGTACTGTGACATTACAAACTGGTATTATATAGGTAGATATACTTATATCCAGACATGATATACCTTTGTAGGTTAAGTTCATTTTGAGATCGAGGTCAGACTGTTATAGAGACAATGTTGAACGTTGAATGTGTGAAAGTCATCTCAATGCGTCCTCACCGCTATCCCTTAAAAGCCTATAAGATGTTACTGTATTTGGTTGAAAATGCAAGTGAGGCTAGAAATAAACATAACTGGGCTATGTTAATTAAAAATACATTGTTCCAACTTGGTCTTGGATATGCCCGAGTTGGACAGGGAGTTGGGGATGCTACAGCTTTTTTATCCATTGTCCAACAACGATGTAAGGATTGCTTTCTGCAAGAGTGGACCAGAAATATTCAAACTGGAAAATGTTCATATTCGTATTCTTTGTTTAAACAACATTTTATGTGTGAAAAGTATTTAACAGTTGTAAATATAAGGAAATTAAGAGTATCGTTATCGCAGTTTCGATGTGGTTATTATGATTTAATGTATTTTAGAGGAATATGTCATGCTACTGAGCACCAATCCTGCTAAATGTGTGACAGGGATATTACTGAAGATGAATACCATGTCCTTCTCATCTGTCCACAGTATGAAGACCTAAGAAAGTATTATATACCATTTAAGTATACGTCCTGTCCCACAATTTACAAATTCTGTATACTAATGTCAACAGAAAATGTACAGCTACTTCAGAATATTGCCATGTTCAGATACCATGCACTGTTAAAACGCAAACGCGCTTGTACCATTCACCCGTTATAACTGTTATAATTATAATATTGCTAAAATCGGCGAAAAACCATACTAACTCACTTAAGCGATGTATTCGCATCAATACAATTCTTTTACGCGTTTATAACTTGGAGTTTTTCAATAATATTAATGAACGTAGGCAATAATATTAAAACAAAAGTAATGTCAATATTTGTCAGCTTCCTGTGTTGTTCTTGTATTTGACTGAGGAAAATATACTCATCCAATAATGGTTGTGTTTAATCGATTTAATTGAGATGGTGGGACTGGGGTGAAACCATATAGTATATATCATGTACGACGTCGTCAACAGGGAACTATCGATGTTGGAGGAGTGAGGAAAGTGTGGACCACGGCCTACGAGGGAGGGAGGCTCAACATACTCAAGTAACATTTTTGTATTTGTGTTTTAGTATCAATTACATATGATGATGATGATGATGATGATGATGATGATGATGATGATGATGATGCATAGGGATTAGCTACCCGTGAAGATCCGGGTTAGAATTGGTCTTCAGTAACCCATGCTTGTCGTAAGAGGCAACTAACAGGATCGGGTGGTCAGGCTCTTTGACCTGGTTGTCACATGTCACCGTATCCCAATTGCGTGGATCGATGCTCATGATGTTGATCACTGGATTGTCTGGTCCAGACTCGATTATTTACAGCCATATAACGGGAATATTGCTTAGTGTGGCGTTAAACAACAAACAAATTGGATTTTCATCCACATGACTCCCTTTAATGGAGGTATCTACCTAAAACGACTTAGTTCAGTTGTTATCATGCATACGTGTGAATGAGCTTTTAGTGTAGGAAAATTAATGTCATTTTATTTGGGAGGGACACTCGAACGTAACGACTTGAACGAGTTTGGTAATAACAAACCAGCAATCATAAGCCGGGAAAACATCGGATTCGAACTCGAAATGCGCGGATCCTGTCAGACCACACTGACATATGGAAAAAACATTCAAAAAGTTAATGTCATTAGTTATAACATTTTCACAACAATTTCTTTATTGTAAATTGGGGGAATTTTTCTGATTTCCTGTGTTGCTTTGATCAAAGCATCGATAAAATTAACTCGCCGAAAAGGCAGTGAGAGATTCAGATTCCCATAGTATTCAATACATACAAGTCGGTTTCGTGGTAGAGATATCAATGTCGTTTCGGACTGAAACTAAAAAGTAATTGAGCTTAGAATTTTCTTCAGCTTTGGTAACATTTTTTAAAAATGTGATATATTTTAAAGATTTACTTTTGTACGTTATCACACGTACAGTTCTGTACAATACCACGACGACAGGATCCGGAGTGTACGGGGATACTGTTTTAATTATAACAGTAAACAAAATAAGAACATTTTGTTAATTGAAATCAAGAACAGTTTTGTGTTTGGACGCTATAGTTGACTTGATAATTAGTAATTCAGTAATAAGCAGGCTGGTTATAACCGCAGCCATATAGATGGAACAACGCCGAGTGCGGCGTAAAACAACAACCAAACAACCTGATAATAAATCTTTACGAAATATATTAAAAGGACATCATTTCCAGCTTCTCTTCATATATATAGTAAAAGTACAATTAGGAGATAAACGTACTGTGTTGGAAAATCAGAGGTATATAACGAAATTATAATAGCTCTAAAAAATTATTTAAAAATAGCTCTAGTATAATTTCGTTTATTTAAAACCTCATGCTACGCGTTCGGTATTAAATCAAATTTAGAGCTATTATAATTTCGTTATATACCTCTGATTTTCCAACACAGTATGTTTATCTCCTAAATGTACAATGTTGCAATTCTATGTTTTTCCCAAACTACTAAATATTTGTTTTATGCATTTAAAAATAGGAAATCAATTTTGCGATATTAAGATTGTTTATGCTGCACACGCTTTAATTGTTATCATTATGTTTGATGTCTGCACCGATGAGGTGTTTTTGTATTCATAGACCCGTGGCCTCACAGTAATGGAAATAAAGGTCTGAATAAATGTACAGTACATTTTCATCAGCATCTCATTCTGGAATATGTTTTCGTATAGCTTTGACCCGAACCCTACCGTCCGCCACACATTCTGGGGACTGTACATTGGTACTATTATGAAGGCAGCGGGGATTGCGTTTAACCAGTCGACGATACAGCGAGTGTGTGCAACGCCTACGATGAAAGAAGCTAAGAAGTAACCATTTTCATTTAGTCCTCAAAGTGAAAATCCAGGTTAATTGGTCTAAAGTAGCACATGCTTGTCGTAAGAGGCGATTAATGGTCGGGTGGGCAGACTGGCTGACTTGGTTGACACATGTCATCGTATCCCACCTGCGTAGATCGATGCTCATGATGTTGATCACTGGATTGTCTGGACCAGGCTCGATTATTTACAGACGGCCGCCATATAGCTGGAATATTGCTGAGTTATGCGTTAAACAAAAACAACCAACAAACAACCAATTATGGTCTGGTTACTTTTTAACTCAGTTCGTCACGATATGGTTGAAATATTGCCGATGTGACGTTAAATAATAACTCACTCACTTTAACTCAGTACGCATCCGATAGGTCTCTGTCAGCTGCATGTCAACCACGTATGGTCTGGTTACCCCGGGTTACATGATTGTACATCTGTATCATCAGTTACATCAAATCTAGACCGGTATACAACCATATATATTACCCTGTATGACTATTAACGCTTGCCACCTTCTTAAAATGGAAGCCACGGGAAAACGGGACAATGTGACAAGCCTCTGGCACAGTGCATAAAATATATACTCATGGAAACGAATAAAGGAACATCTGAAAGTACAAGTGTTCCTTTATTCTTTCCAGGTTTCTTCCCAAGCTTTGTATTGCACTGTGGGTGAAATTCTGGAAAAGAATAAAGGAACACTTGTACTTTGTGTTCCTTTATTCGTTTCCATGAGTATATATCCTTGGTCGTGTAACAGATGAAAAGCTACAGTTATGACCTAAGGAAGATGTAACTGACGGAACATATATCGCTTTATTTCATCAGCAATGTGTTTTCAAACGTTGACTGACCCTAGAATACATAGCGAAGCTTAAGAGTACTCAAGGTTAAAATGAATTGGACAGCTAATGCTGAATCACGTGTGGCACTTTTAAATTGTTATAATCTTCATTTGGACTGTACATTCATGTTTTTAGATGTGTATTTTTAAATAAGATGAGGTGAGGTGAAATGGGGTTTAACGTCGCACTTACGAATATTTCGCTCATGCGTGTGAATGTATGGCTGCTTGTACTAGCCCAGACTTAAGCTGGTTTTATAGTGCTAGCTCAATGAGGTACCATGCCGCAGTGAAGCATGAATACCCCACTCAGACACATTATACTGACTCCAAGCTGACCAGTCCTTGTTGTACCCATTAATGCCGAGCGCCAGGTAGGCACCAACAAGTACCATATTTTAACGTCTTTCGGTATGACGGGCCGGGGATCGAATCCGCGACCTTGCGCTCTCCAGGCGGACACTCTAACCACTACTCCACGGAGGCGGTTGTATTTTTAAATAAGATAACATTATTTCTTGAACTAAATGTCAGCGTAGGGACGTTGGGAGTAATTCCCGGGGCGATGTGGTAGCCCAGTGGTTAAAGCGTTCGCTCGTCACGCCATAGCCCCAGGTTCGATTCCCCACATGGGTACAATGTGTAAAACCCATATCCGGTGTCCCCCGCTGTGATATTGCTGGAATGTTTCTAAAAGCGGCGTAAAACCATACTCACTCACACAGTAATTCCCGTTTCCTAGTACGACGTAGTCGAGTAGTTCAAGTGTCCGCTTGTCAGTGCTCACATTCAAGCGGTTTTTTTTTCGATCTGAAAATTAAATCGCGATGTCCCCTGCTTCAGAGTCGTGTTTGTGATGGCTCCGGGCTTCTGGTTGACGATCACGCTGGCTATCGTGGAGGGCGTCGTTGCGTACGCCTACTACAACAGTGTGAAATGTGACCCTCTGCTCTCAGGTCAGATCACCAACCCCAATCAGGTATGCTGCACCATTACAGATCGTTCAGACATTATCGTTTATCCCTTGATGGAAACAATATATACACGGCGACGAAATCGCTAATGCTTTCTGTGTGCTAGCTATGCCTGAAAGTTACTAGCCCACAAAATAATTTACTAGCCCGAAATTTGAATGGTGAAACTAAGCAAAAGGTTACAAAAAGGTAAAATACGATTAAAACAAATGATCTCGTGAAAATTCACTAGCCAGTCTTACCAGTGACTGTGGAGATTTACTGGCCCGAGTGGATTTTTACTAGCCACAGGCTTGTGGGCCAGTGGCTATTTTGCACACTGCTGTGAAGATACCCATTTATCGCTAGTGCCTTCTTAGTCACTTCAAGCTAATATCTCTAACCTTCCAACGCAGCAGTCGCTTATAAAGCTACAATTTGCGTTCTCATACGCCCTGTTTGCTTATACGCATTTGCTATTCTTCTTAGGCACTATTCACTGATAGAGAGCTACAATTCATGTCTTCATACGCACTGTTCGCTATTACGCAGCTACGATTCACTCATCATTCGCACAAGTCATTTACAAACAGCTATGATGGTGGACGCCTTCACATGCACTGGTCGTTAATACACTGAGACGATTCTCGCCATAATACGCACTTGTCGCTGATACACAGAAACGATTCTCGCCATAATACGCACTTGTCGCTGATACACTGAGACGATTCTCGCCATAATACGCACTTGTCGCTGATACACAGAAACGAATCTCGCCATAATACGCACTTGTCGCTGATACACTGAGACGATTCTCGCCATAATACGCACTTGTCGCTGATACACAGAAACGATTCTCGCCATAATACGCAGTGGCCGCTAGTACACAGAAACGATTCTCAACAAGACAGCGTTCTACAAAACTCCTATATTTAACAAGCTCATTCAGAATGTTGAGATGAAATCGTGAACGATTCTTATTCCGAAACCACTGAGGGTGCGAAAAGTATCAGTCGAAGATGAAACGATCAATGTGTACTACATATAAAACGGTTAGTATACCTTGCATGTTCGGCTTCCTTGCAGGTTATTCCACTGTTCGTCATGGACATCTTCAAGGACATCCCAGGAATGCCGGGGCTGTTTCTGGCAGCTCTCTTCAGTGCCTCACTCAGGTGAAGTATCTCCGTGTGTTGTAGAATGCATGTTGTTTAACGCCGCAACCAGCAGTATTCCAGGCGTATCACGGCATTAGTCATCAAGTGACAAGTGACGCAGGTGACGAAGGAACGCTTAAACCACAAAGCTACCCCACAGCCCCTCAAGTGACTTGACCGTAATGTGTTATGGTGTAATGGTTAGAGCGTCCGCCCGGAGAGCGGAAGGTCGCGGGTTCGATCCCCGGCCGCATCATACCAAAAGACGTTAAAATATGGTACTTGTTGGTCCCTGTCTGGCGCTCGGCATTAATGGGTACAACAAGGACTGGTCCGCTCGGAGTCAGTATAATGTGTCTGAGTGGGGTATTTCTGCTTCACTGCGGCATGGTATCTCAGTGAGCTGGCACTATAAAAGCAGCTTCAGTCTGGGCTAGTACAAGCAGCCGCACATACACATACACACGCATGCACGTCGTCATATGAGCGAAATATTCTCAAGCACGACGTTAAACCCAATTTCACCTCACCTCACCTCACGTGACTTGAAGCACGAGTACGATAACATGCATATGCAGCCAGACATTTTCCCGAGCCTGACCACGCAGGCTAATCTCATTTTAAACGGTTCGTTGGACAAGCTTGAGAAACAGAGGGCCTTCTCTTGGATTATGGAATGAAGTATGTTTAACAGTGACAAGAAATAACAATAGAAATAACAAGCGTGTGGGTGCTTCGTGAAAATGCGTGTTTAGAATGAAACTCAGACATTAAATCGCAAAGGAATACATGTACATGTATTTGAACACGGTTTTGGTCTGAGCACACGAAATAAGCAACTATCTCATAAGCATAAATAACAATCCTAGTGAGTGAGTTTACTTAGCAACAATGGTTTAAATGTAAACCTATACAAGATATGTTCAGGAAGGTGTTTACATTCCAAAGGAATACATATCTGGCGTGTTCCCACTGACAAGGTGTTGGGCAGTCTCGTAAATTAATTGCATAATCTAATATTTATCATATATACATTTTGACGCAAAATTACACATTGATGGTTACGAGTGGGACCTACCTGGTCATGATCAGTACACAGAAAGCCAACTGTTTCACTTTTCAGGCCAGGACTCATTTGGGTAGTCGATCTGATGTGGCACCTCGCTTGATTGACACTTATTTCTGTAATAATATTACGGCATTTATAATGCGCTGAATTCCGCACCTTGAGGGGCACGCTCAAAGCGCTACAATCCGATCATTATTACCCCGGATAACCCAAGATGCCTGTGAGGCGCTAGAAGGTTAATAGTCACATGACTTATCCCACCGGGTACCCATTTTCTGCAGGGTGAACAGAAACAAATTTGACAAACTCACTTGCCTAAGGTGGGACCACATGTATCACATGTCCTTCGTTGTGGGGCAGCACTGAAGTCCTAGAAACTCTCAGGAGTCAAGCTGCCAAACACGGTCACCCATCCAAGGACTCTCCGCTCCCATCGTTGCTCAACTTCAACTGATTTGTAACCTGGGCTCTACCACACATCACCACGTGGACATGTTTCTGTACCGTCCAGCAGGACAGTAACATCAACAAAGATTCACATTGACGTCGTATCAAATTTTCTTCAAGAAAACCATGCTATGTCTGGGTTTCATCATGTGTTTTGACAAGTTTCACTGGACAATAAACAGACTAATAAGTATATGTGCAATTTAGAATGAATATCCTGCGGGTTGATCAAGCCACGCCCTCTTATTCTATTGGTAAGATAATGTATTGAAACATTTGTATATTTTTGTCTTCATTGCCGAAGTGGGGTGGTGGGTCAGCCTAATGGTTAAAGCGTTGGCTCGTCACGCCGAAGACCCGGGTACGAATCCCCACATGGGTACAATGTGTGAAGCCCATTTCTGGTGTCCCCCCGCCGTGATGTTGCTGGAATATTGCTAAAAGCGGCGTAAAACCAAACTCAGTCAGTCATTGCCGAAGTCAAAGATGTATGTTCTTGGTATTTAAGCACTGTGTCATCCGGGTTGTCCAGTCTGTCGGCCTTGACCTGGGAGGACATCCTCAAGCCTCACTTGCCAAACATATCCGAGTTCAAGGCCACCGTTATAGCAAAGGTATCAGGTGAGTATCTGGGTTACAGCCTCGAGATCTCAAGCAGCGTTCGTGGTTATATATATGTTGTAACTCTTGTTTGGGTACCGGTCTAAGGCGCCACAATCAGCAATCCTGGACTCGCTTGACTACAGGATAACCGGAAGTGTATCGTGTGTGTTTCTCCGGGACCATGGTCTGGTAGACTGTCTGTTTCACCTGAAGTCATGGCGATGCATACTATAGAAATGATCCCTAAACGTATGACCTTACGAACAGAGCTGCGAGTGAATATGGTTTTAGGCCTCTTTTAGCAATATTCCAGCAACATCAAGGTGGGAGACACCAGAAATGGGCATCGGGTACGGTCTTTCACACCAAGCAAGCAACCAACAAAACCGCGGCATAATTCAACATTCACTCATTCACCAGAGTCACCACGATAACCTCTGGCATGTAAAGGCGAACTTCAATATTAAAGGGGGTTAAACTAAAGGATAAGCCGAAAGTTCTTCACACCTTGGTAAAAAATATATAATAATAAGTTGTCTTGTATAGCGCACAGTTCCAAACACCAAGGGGCGGTGGGGTAGCCTAAGTGGTTGAAGCGTTGGCTCGCGGCGTGGAAAGCCAAAGCGGCGTAAAACCAAACTCAGTCAGTCAGTCAGTCCAAACACCAAGTCATTGCTCGCGGCGCTGTTTGGTTAACACAGCTAGACTAGGCATCAGGATGACATTTTCGGAAGAGAAAAGTTTTCAAGTTTGACTGGAAGGTAGACAGTGTTCCAGAGTTTTTAATGAAGAAGGGCAGATCATTCCAGAGAGAGGCGGATGTGAAAGAGAAGCGTCTATGTCCAAAGGTTTTCAGTTTGGCTGTGGGTATTGTGAGCAGTGAGTTGTTAGCTGATCTGAGGCATCTCGGAGGAACATAATCTTTAACCAAGTTGGTCAGGTAGGACCTCAATGCTGTTATGATGTGCATCCTGTTCAGAAAAGGATGCCAAAGGCTTCCAATGTCCGAGCAATAACTACCAATCCCTATGATTTGTGTTTGTTTCAGTGATAGTGTACGGCCTTCTCGCTGTCGGTGTGGCCATCTTAACGTCCATCATTGGAGGAACGCTTATCGAGGTATCTAACATGCACAATATACTGACAGTCAAAGAAAGTATACAATGGCGGCATAAAATGAAACAAACAAGAGACGTTTATTCGAAGGTGATGTATTTGATTCAGGTATCATGGATGAGTTCACAGTGGTTTGGCCACCGTTTTAGTTTGGCCTAGTAACGTTTTCACAACGTTATTGAACTTTTACGAAAATCAACCTTTTACCGGGACATTTACTGTCGAATGGTGGCAATCACATGCACCACGGGTGTTCAGTTAAGCTACCTATGTGGTCGACTTCAATGAAGAAAAAAAGAGGGAATACATATGTAAGCTATATTTTTTGGCTGTAACAACTTGCAGAAAATACAAATAGTCAAGCCGATGTTGTTTTATTTCCGAGCTGTTTATGATATTGCTGGAATATTGCTAAAAAGCGGCGTAAAACCAAACTCACTCACTCACTCTGTTTAACTCATAAATATGTTTCTGTTGCCAGATAAGCGGCAGTGTGCTGGCCACGTTCACCGGTCCATTGACCGGCCTGTTCCTCACAGCGTTCTTCTGTCCATGGGCAAACGCCAAGGTGGGTCAGACCTGGTTGACACACGTCATCGTATCCCAATTACGTAGATCGATGCTCATGATGTTGATCATTGGATTGTCTGGTCCAGACTCGATTATTTACAGACCGCCGCCATATAACTTCTTTGATTGGAGGAGATGAAGAATGAGGACAATTTATGGATATACAACTTCTTTATTCTGTATAGGCGACGTTTCGACATATATACTGTATAGATTCTAATGTCGCTGCCATATAGCTGGAATATTGCTGAGTGTGGTGTAAAACTAAACTCAATCAATCAATATTCTGTCTTTCTACATGACAGGGGTGTTTTACGGGAACCATTGTGGGCACGGCTGTGCTCCTGTGGATCAGCTTTGGTTCCACGTTTTCTGGTGTGAAGACACGGACTCCATGGCTCCCTCCTGCACAATCGGACATGTGCTTTCCTGAAAACATGACGTCATCCGCATATAATTCGTCACTTTTGACGTCAGCAAGATCTATGTACACAGTTGGGAAACCTGTCCGAGAACCGTACGTATCATTTTTTACACTTGTGGTCATTAAAATGACTTCATGTTACGTTTCAATCGTGAGAAAGTGAGTGAGTGAGTGAGTTTAGTTTTACGCCGTTTTTAGCAATATTCCAGCAATATCACGGCGGCGTGAGAACGTGAACGAGTATGGCTTTATGCCGCTATCACAGCGGGGGACATCAGAAATGAGCTTCGCACATTGCGCCTATGTGGGGAATCGAACCCGGGTCTTCGCTCGTGATGAGCGAACGCTTTAACCACTAGGCTACCCCACCGCCCCGACGTTTCAATAAGTGCCATGCAAGTTGAGACCTTGACTGTTGGCAGCTTGCTGATGGAATTCTGGCCCTGGGTACATTTACATTGGTTCATATATCTTTGCCTGTTTCAAATAATATGAGAGAATCTAAGATGCAGGTGTTCTTCTTTTTGATACATCTTTATTAATACATAACCGACAACCCGATATATATTAGCAATTAAATGTGTGTGCATACCAGAGGCTTTTAAAGTTTCCAGCCTTTTAAGAATCAGGTTATTAAAGGCCTTCAGCAAACTCGTTGACAGATGTGGTGAGGTGAGGTGAGGTGAATTGGGTTTAACGTCGTACTTGAGAATATTTCGCTGATATGACGACGTGCATGCGTGTGTATGTGTATGTGCGGCTGCTTGTACTAGCCCAGTCAGAAACTGGTTTTATAGTGCTAGCCCACTGAGATAGCATGCCGCAGTGAAGCATGAATACCCCACTAGACACATTATACTGACTCCGAGCCGACCAGTCCTTATTGTACCCATTAATGCCGAGCGCCAGACATGGACCAACAAGTACCATATTTTAACGTCTTTTGGTATGACGTGGTCGGGGATCGAACCCGCGACCTTCCGCTCTCCGGGCGGACGCTCTAACCACTACACCACGGAGGCGGTCCGTTGACAGATGTCGTCGATAGTTGGCAGGGGTGTAACTACCATTATGAACAAAAATAAATAAAACATATATTAATAAAGCACGGGCTTACACGTGGTTGTTGTTAAAAGGTTGGGTAGCCCTCAATACTATCTAAATATAAAGCTTTGCAACCTATCGGGCTTACACGAAAACAAGTTCTTGCTACGCACCTGGTTGGCATCGTGTCGGAATTGTGTAGATCGTTGCTGATGGTGCCAATCATTGGATTGCCCGATCCACACTGAATTGTTCCAGACTGCCATCACATAGCTGGAATATTTGCTAAGTGCTTCGTTGAACGACAAATAACCATGGAAACATTTGACATGACGTGCATATGTTCATTCCTACGTTACAGAATCTGGATAGAATACGCCTACCAACTCTCCTACGCCTGGTTCAGTGCACTTGGTTCCGGTGTCACCTTCGTGGTTAGCTTCCTGGTGAGCTGGATGACAGGTAAAATATTTGTGAGCGAGTGAGTGAATTTAGTTTTACGCTGCTGTAGCAATATTTCAGCAGTATCACAGCGGGAGACAATATGAATGGGCATTTTTTACCCGGGGTAAAAAATACAGATACAACCTTCTGATTCCAACCCAAACTGGTTCCGCTGTTGGTTCATGCCATTCTTTTGGGACGTGGGGAATTGGATAAAGTGTTCGCTCGTGACGCCGAAGCCCCGGGTTCGATTCCCCACAGGTTGTTACCCTTGTATGTAGCTGGGATGATAAACAAAACGGTAAAACAATCACATCCAAAAGTGGATGAGAAATAGCTATAGATATGGTACATTTGTCCGACATTGATCGGATTGTATTCTGGGAGTCATAATATTTCAGATGCATTTAATATATATTTTTTTACAGCTTGCAATGTTGATGAGCAGACATATATATGTTTAATAATTGTGATATCTCTTATAAGAAAAAGACGATTCGTGGTCGTAGATATTTGAACAATAATGAGTGAATGAGTTTAGTGTTACGCCGCTCTTAGAAATATCCCTGCAATATCGCGGCGGGGGACACCAGAAATTGGCTTCACATATTGTACCCATATGAGAACCCGGGTCTTCGGCTACCTAGGCTGCCCCACCGCTCCTATTTGAAAAATAAAACCCTGAAGAGAGAATTACCCCTGATGCTACGTGCACATGTAAATCTTGCAGGTTTTAACCGCAACAACGACGTAGACCCCCGATACATGGTGTCTTTTACTGAAAAACTGTGTTGCTGCATACCCCGTTGCATTTGCGGGCAGAGCAAGGAGGTGAACAAGGTGAGGTTTTGTGGCCTTATTTGTTAATGATGTGTACGCATTTCACATAGGTGTCATTTCTGTCCAACAGTGAAATTTTCCAGCCAGGTCAATCATGTTTTCACAATACAGAAACTGTGTTTTACTACTGGCAGAAACTGAAGGTAAACCAAGGCATACACTAAATTATTATAAACTACAACTAATTTTAGTTCGTTTGATGTGAACATAATATGCAATTATGGACTGGTGATGAGGTCAATACCTGTTTTTATGGACTCGCGAAAAGCAATATTGACCGCTTTTCTCGGGTCCATAAAAACAGGTATTGACCTAATTCACCAGTCCATAAATTGTTATATTATCTAATTACCGAGAAAAGCTTCTAAAAAACAAAACATGTCAACAAAAGTAATTTTATTTTCGCTACAAAAACTTGAAGGGGGTGACAACCATTATTGGCATGAGTATATATACGATGTCCAGTCATCCCATATAGTAGACGCTGTGATTATTGAGTTCCATTATTTTAAGAGTAGACACGAGAGTTATCAATTGGGTTGTAAATTGAAGACAAGGTGTCGGAAAGTAATCCAGTCAATTACTTGCATACAGTTGTTTATTGTTCCTCTGAACAACCACGTGTGAGATGCAATATATAGGTTGTTAAATGGTTGTTTTTGACGTTATCCTAAAGGGGGGCAGATTGCGTTGTTTGATTCTGTACCTTGTCAGATTTTATTATTCTTTGTTTCACTTTGTCTGATGTTGCATATATTCTGACTTTGGTATACTTTGTCTGACTACTTTCACGTTATTACACTATTATACTTTGACGTTAGCGTGCTTTCACTGACTGTGTTATACTTTATCTGACTGTGTTATACTTTGTCGGACGTTATTATACCTTGACGTTAGCGTGCTTTGTATGATAGTGTTATCCTCTGTCTGACTGTGTTATGCTTTGTCTGACTGTGTTATACTTTGTCTGACTGTGTTATACTCTGTCTGACTGTGTTATGCTTTGTCTGACTGTGTTATGCTTTGTCTGACTGTGTTATACTTTGTCTGACTGTGTTATACTCTGTCTGATTGTGTTATACTTTGTCTGACTGTGTTATACTTTGTCTGACTGTGTTATACTATGTCTGACTGTGTTATGCTTTTCTTCTGTCTGACTGTGTTATACTTTGTCTGACTGTGTTATACTTTGTCTGACTGTGTTATACTCTGTCTGACTGTGTTATGCTTTGTCTGACTGTGTTATACTTTGTCTGACTGTGTTATACTCTGTCTGACTGTGTTATACTTTGTCTGACTGTGTTATATTGTCTGTGTTATCTGTCTGACTGTGTTATACTTTGTCTGACTGTGTTATACTTTGTCTGACTGTGTTATACTCTGTCTGACTGTGTTATACTCTGTCTGACTGTGTTATGCTTTGTCTGACTGTGTTATACTCTGTCTGACTGTGTTATACTCTGTCTGACTGTGTTATCCTTTGTATGACTGTGTTATACTCTGTATGACTGTGTTATACTTTGTCTGACAGTGTTATGCTTTGTCTGGCGTTAGTATAATTAAGCGTTAGCGTGCTTTGCTATGACTCTGTTGTGTTAAATGGATGAATGGTCAGTGGACTAGTACGAGTCAACCGACATCAGTCAGACAAAACACCTCACCTCACCTCGACTCACCTCAACTCACCTCAGTTTTTTAAATGTAGTGCTGATCCAAACGTGCGAACGTTCAGACAACATTCTATGCCAAATTCTTGGAGGGCATGTGAAACCTGATCTTCCGCTTGTTCAGTCTCAGTCACTTAAATTAATGATATTGTCTTTCCGGTGTACAGCCATGTTACATGTAAATTAAAATTGAATTTGAAAGGAGTTTTTAGCACGGATTTTCCGAGCTAATAACACACACAGCACTTCACTGAAATAAAAATGATATAAACTCAGGGATATTTGCGAAGATAATTGAGTTGTTTGGTTTGAAGATAAATGAACTGTTGGGATCCAATTTCTTCAAAAGATTTCTGATTAGAAACGAGAAAGAACCTTTAACAAACTTTGTTGCTCATTATTCTAACATTGGTTTCCTACGCCATTTGCTTACTCGCATATGTGTTTTTGTCTTTTCATGTGTGGGTTCTCTTATGTTTGGATATCACAGGATGTCGTTAATAAAAAGATGTTTAATTTCATTTTTTAAACAAAGACTAAAAGACATATTTTACCAAGATTGGCATTCTTATGTACACTCATCCAAATATCTTTCTCATTATGCTCTTGTAAAATCGTTATTAGAGCCAGAAATATATTTAAATGTATTACACGAGGAGAGCTTTTTGTAAATTCAGAATCTCCTTGCATGATTTCCATGTAAACTCTGAGCGTAAAAGTAAAAATTTAAATCCAAGTGAGATTAAATGTGTAAAATGTAATAGTAGCCAGGTCGAAGATGAATATCATGTGTTATTTGAGTGTAAGCACTATCGAGACCTGCGAAATAAATATACTATCCACAAAAAGAAACGCATAGGCATTTTGTATTTTAAAAAATGTATTAATTACCTACTGTGTTCAAACAATCGTCAAAATATGTAACAAAAGTGTTGATAACACGATTTTACACAATTGTACAAGTCAAAAATCTACTTTACCTGAAAATGTCGATTTTGATGAGATTTCTTACAAGGATTAAAAAGGCATCGCCACAACGCAACAGAAATCACCCTCCACTTGAAATTATGCAGCAAAGAACATGCACTGTCTGGCTATAAAAATCCAGATTACTTTCGGAAATCGACATTCGTTTTGAAGAAGTTTCAAGGTCAAATCACTGCGCCACGTCTTGATGCTGCGACACGGAACATCGCCATTGAAAGAATGCACGCTGGAGATTAACAATCTTCTGTTGTCAGGCGTCAGAATGTTAGTGTGAGCACGATATCACTGCTTGCAACTCGTTACAACCAAACAGGTATAACAAATGACCGTCCCCGTACAGGCAGACATCGAGTCACCACTGCAGCCCAAGATCGGTACATCCGGGTACTACATTTGCGCGATCGTACTGCCACGGGTGAGAGCCCAGTAGCCAGGGTGCCTGGACTTCGGAGGATATCCGTTCAAACGGTACGGAACAGGCTGAGAGAGATTGTACTGAGAGCCAGGAGACCCGACGTCGGGACCGTGCTGCGTCGTCGCCATCGCGCTCAGCGTCTCCGTTAACTAAACTTATCCACTTGATTGTATAGACATTACCGTCTTCTAAACTGATGTAAAACTTCATGTATGAAACTCTGTTCGCAACAGATTTCTGGGTTATGCGTTTCTTTTTTGGAATAGTATATCTTCCAAACTTATGTGCAGGGTATAAGGATCAACATTTGATGATAAATCTTTAAAATTCTAAGAATGAAGATTTTATTACCTCTGTTGCTCGTTTTCTGAAAAATGTATTAAATTTTATATAGGTGTAAAACGTAATAAGTATGTAAACTTATGAAAATATGTAACTGTACTATGGGTCGTCTGGCCTAAAATACTGAGTATACTGTCTGATACATCTGGTACAGGCATTTGCAAGGCACTGAATTGACACTATGAGTATCAATCTACGTATTTCTTATACGTTGACATGCCCCGATTAAGTCAGCAAGCCTAAACACCCAGTCCCGTAAGTCGAATGGGTTTCTAAAGATCCATGGTAACCCGGATGTTCTCGGGTCCAGACACTTTGTAAACAGTCCACGTGAAGCAAGGTTTAAGAGTGGACACAGATGTGAAAACACATACTTTGCAATTATGTATTCAGTATGCGTATCAGTGGAACGGTGGGGGAAAGGTCGGCTGCGGGACCAATCAATGTGAACGTATGCTGACGTCACGCCATTTTTGTAAATCTTGCAATTGATCCCGAGCAAAGAAATTCTGAACGTGCATTTGAAGCTGCACCTTACGAAACTATAGTGCATTATGCAAATGTAGACATATCATAGATAAACTAAAACATGTTTGCCAGACTTGTCAAATTTGAGCTTATTAAAATATTCTTTCCTTACCAGTCCATAAACCCCAAATGACGCCATTACGTAAATATTGTTAAGTAATAACATGACGTCATAGCAAGACAAAGAGAATCGTCAAATGTAAGGCTCTGTGCATACACTTTATTTCTGTTGTCCTTTTTTTAAAATATATACTCTTCCAAAAAAGAAACGCATAGGTGTATTTTCTCGAATTTGAGCTGCTTATTTTAAAGTGAGATAACGCATGTAATTCAGAATCAGTTGCCAAATGTCACAGTATAAAAGATCAAATGTCGGTTAATATAAATAGCTTATAAAAAGTTCAGTAAGTGAAGGACTCCCTTGCCAGTTGTATATCTAATGTGGCCACTGTGAGCACCCCAACACTATGTACACAAACCAGCATTAAAATGGCGAAACAATCAAACACCAATTTTGAAATGTATTTGACACTTTATGTATCAATATCACCGTTTCTTTTTTGGGGAGAGTATATTTCCACAAACATTTACCCTACAGCTGTATCTGTCAATACTTAAAAAAAGAGCCAAAGAAATTCGCCACAATCAAACTCTCACTGTAATCAAATCGCCTGTTTCAATGAAAGGTGATCACTGTGATTTATAACCCTCTTGCAGTGAAAACAATCCATATGGGGCTCACATGCGTTTGACGATGTTGTTTTCAGTACGGTATGTTGTTTGTTGTTATGAAAGACACGTACTTGTTACACACCTGTATTGTTGTTTGTCCTAGGGTCAGACCAAGCAGGATGTCCACAAATCCAAGGATGAACCACAAGATGGGACTGAAATGATCCTCTTGTTGAAGAAGTCAGAACAAGAAGGCGAAGCTCAACTACCACAGAAGACAGATGAAGAAAACGAAACCAATAGTTCCTAAGTTCCGTGTGTAACTCATAAAAATGTTGCTCTTTGATTACACACACTATTTATGCTATGTATACTGAAGGTGAATGCACTTTAATGACATGTCAGTTAGTACAAAGATCCTAAAAATACCACCCCAATGCTGAGATTGCAAAATAAAGACGTATATTAAAGAAATGTTTTGCTTTGACTCCACGACAAAACAGGCTTCACCAGAAATATTCATTACCGCTTGCTTTTTGTTCAACATGCTTAGTATACTTATTACCTGTTGAACGACACGTAAGTCGAATATTAGCGAAACGGGTTTACAGCCATAAAACATTTGAAAATTTTGACTCTCTCTGTCTGTCTGTCTGTCTCTCTCTCTGTCTGTCTGTCTGTCTGTCTCTTTCTCTCTCTGTATGTCTGTCTCTGTTTGTCTGTCTGTCTGTCTGTGTCTCTCTCACACACACATGATATGGGATTGTCCTCGCTCTATAATTAATCTTATCCCTCTCTCTCTCTCTCTCTCTCTCTCTCTCTCTCTCTCTCTCTCTCTCTCTCTGTGTCTCACACACTCACACTCACACAATTCATATCATTCGTCAAACCATCGTCTGTACGATTATCGCGTTAAAACAAAGGCAACCGCGTATACAATAAGGTTAGTACGTTCCTCAAAATAGTAGATACACATCCCATATCATACGAGTTCACATTCTTCACACAAATTTATTTAATTTTGTGTTTGCTGTTTAACGTCCCACTCATCACTATTCCAGTAAATGTCGGCGGATTGTACATAATCAAGACTTAGTGTTCTCCAGACTAACTAACTGTTCATAAAACATGAAACAGAAAGACGTGACTGCTAACCGCTAGATACAGAAGGTTTTATTGAACCATTTACTCAGATTAACCTAGAGGCTATTCAATTAAGATTAATAAGATTAAATAACTCGGAACACATCTTCCCGAGGCCGGAGTGTCCACTGTCCTCTATCGAGGTGTATTTTACAACGGTGGCAATTAAATATCGCCAACGTCACTTGGCTCGATTGTGTCGCCATCCCAATAGAAGCCACCACGGGTTTTCTCCCTTGTGATGGAAACGCGATACACATTCAGATGGTTGTTCTCATTTGAAATGGCTTCAGAAACATGACTCCCACAGTAGACGACTTCTTTAATCAGATAAACGTTTTGAGATTTCATCCCTGGCAGACAAAGAAACAACCACAGTGACGACACTACTACATCATTTCGCAACTACAATAGATGCACCTGTCAACATAGTATCAAGTATAATTCTAATAGCGGCAACATGAAATTGCCCATCAGGGGCCTAGATTTTTTCTTAGCGCTAAGATCGCTCTCTTAATGAATGGCGCTAAGATAGTCGTAAGTTAATGTTAATGAATGGCATTTCTGGTGTCCCCGCGGTGACATATTTTGGCGTAAAACTAAAAGTCTGTCAGTCAGTCTGTCAGTTAATGAATGGCTCTTACGACTATTTTAGCGCTAAGAGAGCTTCGAAAATCTAGGCCCAGGGGTCGTCTGTAAATAGCACTGAATCTAAATCATAGCGTTAAGTGTTCTGTCCTTGGAATAATTAGCAATGACGTGTTAATTAACATACGTGAGTGATTTTACGCCTTTGCAGTATTCCAGTAATATGACGGTAACTATGGTAACTATCTTGTTCTCTTGTTTTCCTTGTTACGCGTAGTATTTATACTTTGCCTCAACGTCGTGTTACATTCCTGCGTGACAATGGTACAAGGATCTGTATCGAACGTCGCAGTCTCGTAGTATACAAGTTGTTATCCATAAAGTTTTTCTTTCATGTTCAGGACGAATGGAGCGCGACTCTGTACGTCAATTTATGGCTCATTAGACAACACCAATGTACCTACAATCCAGCAGTTGTGAGACAATAATTCTGCTCGCGGAAGGTCCAGTGGTTTTAAAATGTGCAAACAATATGGAATTCAGAGGGTGTAAAGATTTATACTGGTGTTGAATCAATCGGTAACAGCAACAAAACAAGCACAACCACGGAGAGAGAGAGAGAGAGAGAGAGAGAGAGAGAGAGAGAAGGAGAGAGAGAGAGAGAGAGAGAGAGAGAGGAGAGAGAGAGAGAGAGAAGGAGGAGAGAGAGAGAGAAGGAAGAGAGAGAGAGAGAGAAGGAGAGAGAGAGAGAGAGAGGAGAGAGAGAGAGAGAGAGGGAGAGAGAGAGAGAGAGAGAGAGAGAGGAGAGAGAGAGAGAGAGAGAGAGAGAGAGAGGGAGGAGAGAGAGAGAGAGAAGGAGAGAGAGAGAGAGAGAAGGAGAGAGAGAGAGAGAGAGAGAAGGAGAAAGAGAGAGAGAGAAGGAGAGAGAGAGAGAGAGAAGGTGGTCTGTATATGATTTATGAATAGTCACATATTTTGTGTACAATAACTGGCATGGAATTGACATTTGGACACATATAGAAGTCATGAATGAAATTATTAGTTATTGTCACTCATACAAAATGAACAAACCGCAGTAATTAACAGTGAGTGAGCTTGGTTTTACGCCGCTTTAGCAATATTCCAGCAATATCACGGCGGGGGACACCAGAATTAGGCTTCACACAGTGTACCCTTGGGGGGAATCGAACCTTCAGCGTGACGAGCGAAGGCTTATACCACTAGGCTACCCCAACGCCCTCAGTATTTAACAACCACTGGTGTATATTATTATATTTATTATTCATAAAATGTGTAGGTAACAGGTAGTAGCTGATCTGTTCATTGAACTGTTATTGTTTTAAGGCGTCTGCGAACTGCCTGTCTGCGTAATGGGAAGACACCAACGTATATCTTATCTGAACTGAACTTTATTTACACTACGGCTTGGTTAATCAGGCGCTTGCAAAAATGCTGTGTGTGTCTTTAATAGAGGAGGAGCTAGACAGGGAACAGTTGCAGAAAATGCCTGGGAAAAGACAGGTCAAGCACTTATCGATTTTGAAGTGTCCACTGTATTCAACCCGGGATTTGGTCATCATATGTACAAGCCTCTTTCCAATATCAGCAATCACTCACTCACTCACTCACTCACTCACTCACTCACTCACTCACGCACGCATGCACGCACGCACGCAAACACCCACCCACCCACCCATTCACTCACTCACTCGAGCTCACTCACTCACTCCTGGAAGTTATGAACCACGTCCTCCATAATGGAAGCATAATTTTTACAAATATTCCAGTGTTGGATGTATTGCATTAAGTCATTTAATAGGCAACTGGACATGGTGGTATGCAGAATAGCACATGGCATATTTTTATTCCTTTTGACATTACCGCCATAACCTATGGGTTATTTTCAAAAACAATTGTTCGGAATTGTGATTATTTCACCAATTTCTCATTTTCATGATTTTTTAAGGTTCAGTGATGACATTCATCATGTACATGTATGACGGGGAACAGTCTTTGTTAAGTTTGTTTTGTGTGTTTCTGTTGATCACTGAATAGTCTAGCTCAGATTTAATAATTTACCGACGGCTGCCAAATAGCTGAAATATTGCCGAGTGTGGCATTTCAACAAACAAACAAGCAAAACAAACTTAACAAAGACTATTTATTAGGATGAATGTAACCGAGAAGATCCGGGTTAGAGTGAGTGAGTGAATTTGGTCTTACGCCGCTTTTAGCAATATTCCAGTAATATCACGGTGGGGAACACCAGAAATGGGCTTCACACATTGTACCCATTTGGGGAATGATCCGGGTTAGAATTGGTCTTCATCAACCCATGCTTTTCACAAGAGGCAACTAAAAGCTTTGGGAGGTCTGACTCGCCGTCTTGGCTGCTGAATGTCATTGTATTGACAATTGAGTATCTTGTTTTCAAATAGACGTTGGTCAAAAGGTGTACAGACATTGACATTAAAAGCCAGTAAGGCTGTTGCTACCATAAACAATTACGTAACTTATAATTTTCCTAACATTTTTCCCAAGATCTTCTTTGAATATTTGATTCTCAGAAGAAGCTTTAAATTTTGTACGACTCAGAAATCTTGGGAGTTCACAAGTGTCTTATTCTCAAGTGCTTCCATGCTACATTTTGCGAGTTTGTGTTAGGAGTAGATTCAAAGACTGGTGCAGTTTAGGCGAATGCGGTCGTATTCCTGTAGGTACATGTGGTACACCAAAGCCATCCACCTCAAACGCCAAAAGCCCACCATAAACCGAGACCAAGGATACTTCATTCCATCCGCTTATGATGCACTCATCCACCAAGCCCAATCTACTGTATAATCTCCTTTTTAATCTACCCCTTTTGATTTGTACATCTCTGGCTTCCACAGCTTTCTTTTGTCATCTCACTGGCTTCATCAGCTTACTCCCTAGCCAAATTATGTTGTTTTCTTTATTACTTTCAGTATATATGCATCCCTGCCTCGTCATGTTGCATTCCTGCTCTACAACGGCACAAGAATCTGTATCGAAACGCCGTACTCACGAAATAAAAGAAGTTTGTTCAATATGATACATATGATAGATGTTTCAAATATTGGTTTAAGTTACTTGATATGCCACCGAGGGGATTTTCTAAACAGTGTTGTGATAGTTAGGTGATATGATCAGACAAAGTTGGTAGGAAAAACATGACACACTAATATAACTAAAATTTCCTTTTCATTTGGCTTTGGAGTCGCATGGGAATCGACGTTGATTGGAAGTATTGGAGTGTAAATGAATACCGGTGTTGTATGAAAGACTGCAGTGTAATGAAGGGGTTTTCTGATCTATCACGTTTTTCGAAATTAGATTGATGTTCTCTGTGTACGACATCTTTCACATTTCATCCTTACCTGTTTAATGTGCCATCATATGAAAATAGAAGAATGCTTACTTTGATAAGCGTCAGATATTGTTTACAATACGGGCAAAAGACCTGGTATTGACAAGAAGCTTCGTTTTTGTACATTACGTTAGTCTAAACAGGTCGAAAATTAAACGTAATTTATTTTGTAATTATAAGTCCAGTTTATTAAGATATGCATTAACGTTTCTTCAAAGTTTACATTTTGCTTCTCCATTCATAAAAAATAAACATAAACATGTTATAAATCAACTCGTGTAACGCTACTGAATAATCTAGCAATGTTTATCAAGGAAGCTAGCACTCTCCGCTTGTCATTACTCTAATTACTATAATTTACCTGCTCTCATTTGTAAAATGTTCAACATCTAGTCTTACTTTCAATCTAGACCCGTTTGACTCAATCCAGAGTCACATCGTCCACCAAACATCCACAGCCACAAGTACAGTTAGCTATCCAGGGAGTCCAAACCTATTTAAAACCACAGGCGCCTCCATAAATCTACATAAACACCCTCATCCACGAGGTCATCAACAGCCGGTTCAATGCACAATTCAGGCACATCCACCACAACCACACCCATATCCACATCCGCATCTGCATCCACATCCACCACTTTCACATCCAAATCCACCACTTCAACATCCATCACACCCGCATCCACATTCATCACATCCGCATCCACCACTTTCACATCCACATCCACATCCACATCCACTTCGACTTCCACCACATCCACATCCACCACATCCACCGCCACATCCACTTCCATATCCATCACATCCACATCAGCATCCTCATCCACTACTTTTACATCCACTATATCCACATCCACCACTTTCACATCCACATCCAGCACATCCACATCCACATCCACATCCACATTCGCATCCGCATCCGCATCCGCATCCGCATCAACATTCACTTCCACCACTTATACATCCACATCCATCATTTCCACATCCACATCCACACCCACCATCTTCACATCTACATCCACATCTTTATCCTCATCCACATCCATCACATCCGCATGCACCACATCCATTTCCACTTCCACATTCACCGCTTCCACATCCACATCCACTTTCACATCCACCACATCCACATCCACCACACCCACCACATTCACAACACTTCCACATCCACCCCTTCCATTTCGACATCCACATCCACTTCTACATCCTCCACACCCACATCCACCTTATCCATATCCACCACATCCACATCCACATCCACCTCATCCTCATCCACTCCCACATCCACCACATCCACATCGACATCCTCATCCACATCCACCACATCCTCTTCCACAATCACCACTTCCACATCCACATCCACTTTCACATCCACCATATCCACCACATCCACATCCACATCCACATCCACATCCGCATCCGCATCCACATCTACTTTCACATCCACCACATCCACTTCCACATCCACCACTTCCACATCCATCACATCCACATCCACCACATCCACAACAACTTCCACATCCACCACTTCCACATCCACATCCACCACTTTCACATCTACATCCACTATATCCACATCCGCGACCCACATCCGCCACATCCTCATCCACCATGTCCACATCATCACATCAACATCCAGAGCCACTACATCCACATCCACTACATCCACCACATCCACAGCCACCACAGCCAGCACATCCACTTCCACTTTCACATCCACCACATCCACATCCACACACACAGCCACCACAACAGCAGCCACAGCCACCACATTCACTTCCACTTCCACATCATCACATCCGCATCTGCATCCACATCCACCACTTTCATATCCACATCCACATCCACCTTATCCACTTACACATCCACATCCACCATATCCACCACATCCACATCCACATCCACCACTTTCATATCCACATCCACATCCACCTTATCCACTTACACATCCACATCCACCATATCCACCACATCCACAGCCACATCCGAATCCGCATCCGCATCCACATCTACTTTCACATCCACCACATCCACTTCCACTTCCACATCCACCACATCCACAACCACTTCCACATCCAGCACTTCCACATCCACATCCACCACTTTCACATCTACATCCATTATATCCACATCCGCGACCCACATCCGCCACATCCTCATCCACCATGTCCACATCATCAGATCAACATCCAGAGCCACTACATCCACATCCATTATATCCACATCCGCGACCCACATCCGCCACATCCTCATCCACCATGTCCACATCATCAGATCAACATCCAGAGCCACTACATCCACATCCACTACATCCACCACATCCACCACATCCACCACAGCCAGCACATCCACTTCCACTTTCACATCCACATCCACCACATCCACATCCACACACACAGCCACCACAGCAGCAGCCACAGCCACCACATCCACTTCCACTTCCACATCATCACATCCGCATCTGCATCCACATCCACCACTTTCATATCCACATCCACCTTATCCACATCCACATCCACATCCACATCCACATCCGTATCCACATCCAATCCACCACATCCCCATCCTCATCCACCACATTCACCGACACCGGATGCTTTGTTTAACTCCCACAATCTCCAACAGTACATAACGTTGATCTGTAAATAATCCGGTTTGGACCAGACAATCCGGAGGTTACCTGCCACCACGAGCATCGGTCTACGCAAGGGCTGTTATTTATCATCCAAAACTGTGTTCCACATGAGATATCACTTGTGTGAGATCATATGATATCTCCTAGGAGATATCGTTTTGACAGGAGATTTTGTACAATGCCATGACAATGCTATGACGTCATGAACTTGATGACGTCACAATGCTATGACATCGCTGCACTGCAAGTCTAATGGTAGTACAGTGTTCAGAGATGTACATTTTCCATTGAAAACTAAGGAAGAATGATTTTTGATGATAAATAGAATCTCACCCTCGTGTCTACTGATATCAATTATATCAACACTCGTTGATAAAGGTAAAAATATCCTCGGCAAGCCTCGGATATTTATAACTTTATCAACTTGTGGACACTTGGGTGAGATTCTCTATTTATCAACAAATTAAATTGTAATCGTTCGGATATTTTTTCATGAAACTAATTTGATTATCTACATTTAGCCTTGTTCAATATCATATATATCATACGTGGATATAGCATTTTGTATTCTTTGAAAGTGTTTGTTTGTTTGAATAATATTTACAGAAGAAATTGACACATTTAGTGTAGTAAACTATATCTTAAACCTGTACACAACTGTTGTAAATGTGAAATGTAGGCACCATGCACTTGAACACATGTATTTTAGTTCCTATGATGTGCAATTTTCAATATTGGACCAATATTTTAGTTTCATATGTAACTATTCGTCAGAATAATTCCCAGTATCGAAGTCCATTCCACGACACATCATATCCTTTCTTTGCTGAACTGGCATCATGAAAGCAGTGTTAGCCATGAACGCCATTTTTGCGAGTTAACCACACTGTTAAAAAGTTAGCGGTGATCTTTAGGTATGTTAACTTAACATCACGTTAACATCCTGCTAAAAGTTAACAGAGTTTTGAACACCAAGATAACCCACTGTTATTAGTTAACAGTCGATTAAATGTACTTAACGGCTGGTTAAAAGATAACCGAGTTTAGAACAGCCGGCCCCAGATCGATAACTTCAAAGATCAGCTAGTGTCATAGCATTTTACGAGAATTTTATATTTCAAAGGAATAGAAATTTGTGGATGTCAACCACTTTAGTATGGGGAACACAACGTTCCGGAGTATATCCTTACACCTTATCAGGCGAACGCGTACGAGTGCTCTGAGGCAGAAAGCATATATATATGTACATGTAAGAACAACAAAAAGTAATAAGCCAATAAACATGGTGGCTAAACAATAAAAGCCAACAGATAACTGGCGTTGAAGTGTGATTGGCAAGGGACCAATGGAAGCCAACACTTGTCTGTCTCTGAGAGTGCTCAAACATCCAGCATTTGTGATAGGATTTAAATCCCAAGCCTGACACGCTGAAGGGACGTAACTCCACACGACACATTAGACAAGGGGTTCGAAAAGGTTTCACGTTGAAACCAGTCTTCTTCTGTATATGAAACGCCTCTATTGTTTTGTTTCTATCCCAAGGTGGCTGTACAACAACACAGTTGCCCGTCGCTGCCCACAGCAGGTTCAGTTAGTCAATATATTCAGCGACAACTGAGAAAGGGGAGGTTATGGAGGATGTACTAATACACGATTCAACCGGCGAGGTGAGCTGAAATGAGTTCAATACTATTTCACTTGTACAACACGTGCACACGTCTGTGTGCAGCGTATGAAATGAGCCAACAACCCACTTCAAAATGTTACCAGCCCAAAATAGATTTAACCAGACCAGATATGATGAATTTACTCAGATGTAAGGAAAATCTTACATTTTCACCCGACCAACGGACTGGCTAGCTGTAAATTTTTACCGTCCGTCAGAAATCTAGCCCGTCTCGGGCGGTTGGACGGGCCTTATTTCATACGTGTGTGTGTGTGTGCGTGCGGGCGGGCGGGCGCGCGGGCGCGTGTGTGTGTGTGTGTGTGTGTGTGTGTGTGTGTGTGTGTGTGTGTGTGTGTGTGTGTGTGTGTGTGTGTGTGTGTGAGTGAACCACATACATTGTATGCCGCTCCAAGTTTAAGACGGACGGTAAATACTATATACAGTTCATGTATATCATGAAGTCTATGCCTAATGATTACAGGACTGTGGGTAACTCACTCACTCACCCACTCAACACACACGCACTGTGTGTTTTGTGACTATAGTTAGCTTACCATCCCCGATGTTCGCAAAATTCAAATCATCTGATACAAAGGGGAAAGAACAGCTTTTTAACGTATCAGGATTAAAACCTCAGTAAAACCGTCAAATTTTATCAATGTGTTAAAAATCTGACTTCTCCTTCATTGTCAGTATCTAATGATACTTGGGAATTTTATATCACAAACAAAATGACCAAATAATGTTTATTTTTTCCTTTTTGTAACAAGGGACATGCATTTTGTCATGTATCCAGGTGCAAAATCCTAAGATATTGTTTCTGGAGTGGTTGAAAAGTATAGACCTTTTTTTCCAATTCCTGGTAGATGTTCATGATTTTCAAGCATTTTTTAAATAAAAAAACAATTGTTTTCTCTTGTATACAAGAAAAATGTCTTTCCTGTAACAGTTCCCTAAAATTATGAAATAATTAATGATCCCTCATCCTGTGAAAGTGGAACTACATGTTATGCTTATTAACAACTTCTGGTTGAGAGTGATGAACATGTGGTGTTGAGTTCAAGACAAAATTTTCAAAGAAAATCAAGTAGAAAAGGTCAGCATTTGCGAGTATTTTTTATCGATGTCTTTTATATAACATTAGTTATAAAAAAATACCCTATTTTCCAAAGATATGTTTTTCTCTTTGCAATTGGAACCATAATTAAAATACAAGGATGTTGTCTGAAATGGGAAAGGGACTAGTCATTATTTTTCTCTTAATTTACTCTTACAATTTGTCTTTCATATAACAGTCCTTTCTGTAACAGCTATTTTGTTATTGGAAAGACCTTCAGTGTTACTTCAAAGAAACATTAATATTGATTAGTCACATATTCTTTTATGTTAATGTCAATGTCATTAACAGTTGACTTGTGGTAATGATCTAAGGTTTATATATGCTGAGGCTGAAACATGTTTTACACTTTCTATTCTGAACGCAATCATACTAATTTTTGTCAAAGGTCGTTAATGGAAAGACAAATTCTGTAACTGCAAAGACAATTTAATACAAATTTGAAAATAAGTTATCTCTGCTACTTCTTTGTTCATCAAGATTTGCTATGTGCTCATATTAGGACCTTTAAGATTATATTTTGAGTAACAATTCAGATTTTCCCCAAAATTGTATGTTATATGTCTTTCAAAAATAGCTGTTGCTTAAAAGACTTATGTTGTTACTGCAAAGACAGTTTAATACTAATCATCCTTTATTTTTGTCTTTCCTTCCTGATTCATTCAGATGGGCATGACATATATGAGATAAGATTAACTTATGCTTCACAAAAAAGTTTGTTCTTGAAACTTTGAATGCTTTTATGCATTTTATAAGACTGTTATTTGAAAGACAGTGTGTGACTGTGACTATAATAAATATGACAGTGAAAAGATCAGTCTGCAAAACCATCAACGTGTTAACATCTAGTTTCCTATATAAAGTTAATGTGTTATAATCTGAAACAAAAATTCAATGAAGCATTCATTTCTATATGTTTTTCAGAACTGTCAAGATGGGTAGTACAAATGCGGAGATTAATTTTAGTGACTAATTTGTTACTTTGACAGCTTGAGGAAGATGATCAAAACGTTGATACTTTTGTTAGTTGCAAAACTGTTTGACAGTTTGAGGAAGATGATCAAAACTTGGATACTTTTGTTGGCTGCTAACCCGTTTGACAGTTTGAGGAAGGTGATCCAAACTTTGATACTTTTGTTACTTGCAAAACTGTTTGATGGTTTGATAAATTCATGACAATTACTGTCAAACTTTTTGTGAAATGACTTTCTGAGTTCTTAGAAAACAAATTTCAAAATGGTTACTGCTACTTTTATTGTTGTTACTTCAAAGCACAGTGTCTATAGTTTTTATTGAACACCAGAATTGAATTCTTCTTTGTCTTCCATCAACTTGTTCTGAAATGTCTTTCCAGTAAAGCTGACATGTGTGTGGGGTAACAAATAGGCTAAGTTCCAAAATATAGACTATATACTTTGTACTTCAAGTATGGTAAAGACAATACTTTTATGAACTGATTGATGTGAACCTATCTTATCATCACTGGCATAGAAATATTCTTATCCTAACTCAAATATACGATTGAATTGTCTTCGCTTTAACAAACAGGTCACTGTTACTCACCTTGTGTGGATATATAAGTATAACATGTAACACTTACTATACTTCTGAGGGTAACAGGCAAAAAACTATATCTTTCACTACAGATAGATCAAAGATATTTGCTACAATTACATAGTTTTTCAAATTTATTTGACATACTTTCTTTCCAATAACATAGGGTGTTTTTGGCATAACGATACTGTCTTTCATATAACAGGACTAAAAAGTAAATGTTTTATGATCTAAAGAGTAAGACCTTGTCAGAAATCCATCAGAAATATCAAAATGTTCTCTTCAAATCACCTTCAGTGCAATTATTTTTTAGGGGAGACAGCTGCATAGATATCAAGAAGATTGCAAAGTACTAACAGATTTCACTTTTTCATCTGACACAGTGTAGAACAGGTTTATTTAATAAAAATACAATTTTAGAACTGATGTTTTAAGTGTGAGTAACAAAATAACACATAAGGTAGATTTTACAATGCAATATATTTACATATAAATGTATTTTTAAGAAAAATGTGGATATTACTGTTGTTACAGGAAAGACATTGTGTCTTCGTCCTAATTAGTTTAATTAGTCTTCATAAAAATATTTCACATAATTAAGCCTCAAATACTATTGATACGTGAACCTTTACAACGTTTCTTGCCATCTGTGAAAATAAAGATTGTCGATTTTGTGTTTGATATGTGAACCTTAACAATATAACAATAATATATTGTCATTTATACGTAAATAAATTGAATACTGTTAAATGAAACCGCTTCTATGAATGAACCTTTTCATCAATAAAATATGAACACAGTGAGTATATGAAGTGTGCTGTGATTTCTTCCAAGGTCAAGCAACACAGAGTATTAATGAGGAAAGTATTCCTTTCTGATGGATGGTGAAAATACTCTGCCACTAGAAGAGGAAGGTATTTACTATATTTATTATTATTGTTATATAATATTTATTATACGCACGTGTGCTTGGCTTGTCAGTAAATTACTGACCGATATGCATATTGCGTGTCATATTATCTTTAATACCAGTAGTGATGTCTTGGGACACATTGGCTTGGTTAATTTTAATCAGACCTCATATATCTTTTTTCTCATAATTTCAGAGATTTTGAAATGATTTGCTCGCCGAATCAAGGAAATGGGGTCCCATGCTCTTTGAACAGGTAAGATTTGTTATTTAACACTACAGTGAGTGAGTGAGTGAGTGAGTGAGTGAGTGAGTGAGTGAGTGAGTGAGTGAGTGAGTGAGTGAGTGAGTGAGTGAGTGAGTGAGTGAGTGAGTGAGTGAGTGAGTGAGTGAGTGAGTGAGTGAGTGAGTGAGTGAGTGAGTGAGTGAGTGAGTGAGTGAGAACTTTACCTTTAAGCCTTGAAGCCACACACACGATCATAGCTCGCTATATATTTTGGAAAAGAAGGTGAGCATCGTGGAGTGACATACAATGCAAGATTGATTACCTTATCTTGCAATTCAATTACGTCTGGCAATTTTGTTAAAGATTTTGAAAATATATACCCAGGTACCTTACACTGGGTTGACACGATCATGTGTTGGGCCTCCAAATGTCGAACTGTTCGTTTGACTACAGCATTACTGTGGCGTGCTATAGGGCTGTAGGTGTGTAGGGAGGAGTTGTTTTAATGAGAAAAAAAGAAAGTAAAACAAACAACATAACAACACAGAACCAATATCATATTCATATATTAACAGTTCAAATATATGTCAAAATCTCGGTACGAATTACTTTTGTATTATAGTCTTCAATAATATTATTATAACTAACACTAACTAGGGGGAACCAACTGCGAACTTTATGCAGATGAATTGCACGAGGATCATGCTTCAAATTGCTGAAAAGCATGTGCAAATATCGTGCACGTGAACAGCTGCGTTTTGGTGTAAAATTTTGTTAAGAATTCGCCGATGTTCACTGTTTCATCATTTATTGAACTCATGACAATAATCATTTTTCAACGTTACGAATATAATTTACAATACATCAGTTCATGTGTAAACAGTACCTTTAAACAGTATGGAATATTTTTGCAAAATCTAGTCTAGAACAGTTGACTGAAGTAAGTGGCTACATTTAAACTAGTGAGTCTAAACTTTTGATGGGGAGTATAGACTGTTATACCTTCCACACATTGGTGCACTTGTATGACTACCTTGTAAACTTATACATGACTGTATAGGGACTGTTATATCTTCCACGCCTGAAATCTCCACTTTAAAGCACCTGTATATAAGTACTTTGTAAAATTACATAACCCTGTATATGGACTGTTATATCTTCCTTGCCTTGAGGCACTTGTATAGTACCCTGTAAAATTATGCATCACCGCACATATACTGTTATATTTTCCATGCTTTGATACACTTGTATAAGTGCTTTGTAAAATCAGATGTACAATCCCCATGTATCTCCGTATATGGACTGTTATACTTCCCATGCATCGATATACTTGTATAAGTGCCGTGCAAAGTTATTGACTTGGTATATCCTCCATGTCCTAAATCTCCGCCTTACTGTACTTATAAGACCTTTATAATTTATCACTGTATACATATTGACGATGTTGTACACAGGGCTCATTGCGGCATTAATGGGTACAATGAGTCAGTATAACGTGCCCGAGTGGGGTATTCATGCTTCACTGCGGCATGGTATCTCAGTGGGCTAGCACTATAAAACCAGCTTCAGTCTGGGCTAGTACAAGCAGCCGCACATACACATACACACGCATGCACATCGTCATATGAGCGAAATATTCTCAAGCACGACGTAAAACCCAATTGCACCTCACCTCACCTCACAGGGCTCAGGGCCCACACCACTCTTAACATTATTAAGAGACTAGATTCACTATTCAACGGTTTGACCAAAACATTAATACAGTGATACGAAATGACTTATTCAGTCCTCAGATGCAGTGTTACTAGTATTTGTCAAATAAATCGATACATCCGAAGTGAGAAAGCATGACCTTGGCTGCCCATTTAATCAAGGACTGTTTGTTGTTTAGCAGTAAATAACCTGACAGCACTGTTAGCATAATCACTCCACCCTCTTCTCAAGCTGATGTATGTAGCTGTCACTCAAATACTTCGCGTGTAGAACAACGCTTATGCCTTGACCAGTTACTTCCCCTTGAACAATAAACATTGACTTGACTACTATTGTTTGACGTCTCGTGCACACGATCCAAATATCTGTCGCATCGTTATTATTGTGGTAAGACATTTTATCATATATATAAATCCAACAACTGACTGGTTCAATTTGAATTTGTCTTTCTACGTTGTTGTAAACAAATGGATCTTTATGTTTCTTAAGTATTAAATGGTAGGCATTGTCTTCTAGGGAAAGTATTTTCGTTCACCAAACCTGGAATGGGAACCGGAAGTGAAATTAGAATGAACAACATATTGCCCGGGATTACTCCCTGTGGAGCTGAGAACTCACATTAAATGGACACTGACCCATTCACTGGAGTAATACAATGAGAAATGATTAATGAAGATACAATGATATTTTTTAATGTTTTTGATTTGTGCGCGTGTGTGTGCGTGCGTGTGTGCGTTTGTGTCTATGTGGTGGGGGTCGCTTAGAGCGGGAAAAGTAGAAATAGACATTTGTTGAAGACGTATAATGACCGCATTTACGCAATGCAAAAGGAACAATAACCTGCATAGTGATTCATGTAACGCCAGAAGGTTTATCAAAATATTAAACCGCATATCCACAGAGCAACCCGGTTTGTATCCACCTAACAAATTACATGGGGCCCAACAGAAGAATAGACGTGAAGTCATATACGAATTCATCGGTGAGAGTAGCGATGACACCTCGTCATAAAAACCTTCGAAAACGGAGGTATTTCCCGCTGTTGTGTCATGTTACAGAGCGGGAAGCCACTGTTATAGGGAAATAGCCGACCAATCTTTTTCTCATAATTTTCAGATTACGTAAAAATGAAATATAGAACAATAAAGGTAAGGGGATATTATGACATGTTTTAAATGGAAAAAAAAAAGCTGCATTATTTGCTTCCTTCGTGGTTTATCTGGACATTATAATGTGTAAGCTTACATTTTCATTAAAACTTAACTTATTAAATTGTTGTATTATTTGAATACTATAATAAAAATTAATTTCATACTTATAAATATGTTAATATTAGGCCTTTCAAATGGTGCATGACATGTCGCAGTAATAATGTTTTACAAGCTGATATTTTCCTTGATAAACATAGCCTCATCTATTACCTCAGAGTCTCTGGGCACTCGGTGTCATGGCAGTAAAAGCCTCTGGTTGACTGGTGTTGAAAGAGCTAAACCATGTGTCACACTTTCACAATATATTGCAATACGTATTGCAATACGCCCACACATATCACAATATATCGCAATACGAATATTTTGGCGATACCCAACCCTAGAACTTATTACGCATTCCTGTAACCAAAAATGTCTGTGCATTTGCATTTCCTGTGACATTTTGTGGCTTCAAGAATTGTCTGTGTCAAACTATTGTGTTCAAGTATTTTCTGTAACAATTTGTAACTGTTTTCAAACATTTTCTGAAACAAACAATCTCAGCCCGTTCTCCTTTCCCAGGAATAACAAACAATTCTGGTCAACTATGACGTTCATTCATATTAGACAAAATGTCCATGATATGTCCAGCTGCCTCTTCAGCTGAAGGTCGTAACCTTGGATCTTCCTCCATGCACCGTTTGATTAAACCGGTGGCGTTAACGTCAACACATCCTTCAAAGATATCACGCAAGATGACGCCCAGCCCATAAACGTCCGCAGCAAATGACGTCACGCCGCCGTCTTTAAGTTCCGGGGCTAAATAGTCCAGAGAGTCAAGGTCATCCGACTTGCTCACTGTGTACCCGTATTGAAGGGTACATTTCCCCAGGTCTATAAGCTTAATAACCGGGTAGTTATCCACAAAATCAAACAAAATATTGTCAGTCTTGAAGTTGCTAATGATGAAATCTCTCTGATGGAAACTCGACATTGCTTCCGCGAGTTGTATTGCTAGCACGAGTTTAACCTGTAGATCAAACTTGTGGACGAGACACATGGTGTCTTGCAATGTTTGCCCCTCGGCAAAGTATTCCTGTACGATGCTGAGGTTGCTGAGCGATGACCCGGACTGTGTCAAGCCGAGGAATTCAGGTACATAACCTGTATCACCCATGATGTAGTTTACAGTCGCCTCGTGGCGTATGTCAACGAAGCTGGAATCTTTAAACATCTTGATAACAACGTCCGCGTTACTTGGTTTATGGTGGGCTAAAGCTATCTTAGTTTCTCCGCTGTGTCTTAACCAAATCTCTTCTCCGTCGGATCTTAGAAAGTAGAGATATTCCTGGGAAATGACAGGTAATGTTATAGTCGCTTCATCCATGATAGCATATTCGGCTGCATCTTCTACATCATTGGTAGCATACCTATTAGCTGTAGTTCCACTCTGAGCTGCAGTTTCCCTTCAGCTGTAGTTCCACTGTCAACTGTAGTTTCCCTTTTAGCTGTAGCATCCCTATCAGCTGTGGCTTCTCTATCAGCTGTAGTTTTCCTTTCAGCTGTGGCGTCTCTATCAGCTGTAGTTTCCCTTTCAACTGTGGCGTCTATATCAGCTGTAGTTTCCCTTTCAGCTATGGCGTCTCTATCAGCTGTAGTTTCCCTTTCAGCTGTGGCGTCTCTATCAGCTGTAGTTTCCCTTTCAGCTGTGGCGTCTCTATCAGCCGTAGTTTCCCTTTCAGCTGTGGCGTCTCTATCAGCTGTAGTTTCCCTTTCAGTTGTGGCGTCTCTATCAGATGTAGTTTCCTTTCAGCGGCGTCTCTATCAGCTGTAGTTTCCTTTCAGCTGTGGCGTCTCTATCAGCCGTAGTTTCCCTTTCAGCTGTGGCGTCTCTATCAGCTGTAGTTTCCCTTTCAGCTGTGGCGTCTCTATCAGCTGTAGTTTCCCTTTCAGCTGTGGCGTCTCTATCAGCTGTAGTTTCCCTTTCAGCTGTGGCGTCTCTATCAGCTGTAGTTTCCCTTTCAGCTGTGGCGTCTCTATCAGCTGTAGTTTCCCTTTCAGCTGTGGCGTCTCTATCAGCTGTAGTTTCCCTTTCAGCTGTGGCGTCTCTATCAGCTGTAGTTTCCCTTTCAGCTGTGGCGTCTCTATCAGCTTTCATTTCAGCTGTATCATCCATATCGGCTATTTCTTCATGATAAGAATGGTTCGCTTCACTAACCGGGATACCTTGACTTCTGCCGGAATAGTTCCCCGAACAAACATCCTTGTAGAGATTCACCAGAAAGTCATTGACGTTTCGCAGAGGAGGCCGACGGGATGGATCAATGGCTGTACACTGTCTCGACATTCGATAGAACTCAGTATTCCCGACGAACCGCGAAATGTATTTCATTAAATCTCCTACAGAATACACGTCACTCGACACCGTTGTCAAGTCGAACCACACCTCTGGGGCTAAGAATCCGTACAGTTTGCGGTCTTCTTTCGTCACCCTCCTACTGCTGTAGGACATCCCCTTGCGGAAGGTGCAGTGGCCGAAGTCGATGATGTGGACGGTTGGCGTGGATCCTTGCCACGACACAAGGATGTTGTTTGTGTGCAGATCATTGTACAGTACCAATCGTTTGTGGATTTCTTGTAAAGTTGACGTGATCTGCCTTGCGATGTCGACCCAGACACATTCTGGTAGGAGTGCGCCAAGGGTGAGGAGTTCATCTAGCGAGGAACTGTTCTTGAGAAACTGGGAGACCAATGACACGTCGGCGATGTCTGGACCCGTTGGAAGAAACCCATACAGACGGGGTATCGTGGCTATATCCTGTAGATACCCCATGATATTTGCTTCGTGAAGGTTTTCATCAAAGTCACGGTCTATTAATTCCTTGACAATGACTTCCTCGTCCGTGAACCGCATCCAGCCGAGGAATATTTTAGCTTGGGCTCCAGTGCCGATTAGTTTGAACTCCTTCAAGTGGTTCACACGGTGAAGGACGCTGCCTTCGTGCAGGAGACCCGGATGGAAATCAAGCAGGTCATGTGGTATGTTTTCGTCTATGTAGTCATGGTCTCCAAAAAATGCATATTTTAGCACTCTTGGGCACATTGTGTCGTTTTGTAGAAATGCCTGTACACCTGGAACAGCAAGATGTTTTGATTAAGGTAAGGTGAGATAAAGGGGCTTAGATCAAGATTATTGCACTAATACGTGAGTGTTGGTTTACCTTACTCCGGACATAAGTCGGTTTAGATTGCTAGACGACAGAGATAGCATGTGGCAGTTGGACCAAGGACATAATGCTGAAACACTGCTAAGTGCTTCATTAAACATCTTACAAACAAGGGGCGGTAGGGTAGCCTAATGGTTAAAGCGGCCGCTCGTCACGCTGCAGACCCGGGTTCGATACCCCACATGGGTACAATGTTGTGAAGGCCATTTCTGCTGTTCCCCGCCGTGATATTGATGGCTTATTGCTAAAAGTGGCGTAAAACCATAGTCATTCACTCACTAACAAACAAAATGTGCTCGAGAGAGTGCGAGTTTGTTCGTTGTTTTACGCCGCACTCAGCAATACTCCAGCTATATGACCGCGGTCAGTGAATAATCGAGTATGGACCGGACAATCCAGTAATCAACATCGTGAGCATCGATCTATGCCTTTGGGAAACGATGACATGTGTCAACCACGTCAGTGAATCTAACTTAAAGTGAATGAAAGTGGGTATGATGGTGTCAAAAGTAAGTATGAGTAAGTGAAAATGAGAATGGATGAAAAGTGAATATCAGTGAGTGAAAAGTGTGTCTGAGTGAGTGAGTTAAATGTGAGTGAGCGTTGCTTTTCCGCGTTCTTCAGTAAATTGAGTGTATATATCGGATCATGTATATTCTTTAATGGAGAGACCGCCTCCGTGGTGTAGTGGTTAGAGCGTCCGCCCGGTGAGCGGAAGGTCGCGGGTTCGATCCCAGACCGCGTCAGACCAAATGACGTTAAAATGTGGTACTTGTTGGTTCCTGCCTGGCGCTCGGCATTAATGGGTACAACAAGGACTGGTCGGCTCGGAGTCAGTATAATGTGTCTGAGTGGGGTATTCATGCTTCACTGCGGCATGGTATCTCAGTGGGCTAGCACTATAAAACCAGCTTCAGTCTGGGCTAGTACACGCAGCCGCACAAACACATACACACGCATGCACGTTGTCATATGAGCGAAATATTCTCAAGCACGACGTTAAACCCAATTTCACCTCACCTCACCTCACCTCTTTAATGGAGGAAAGCTAAGCCTCGGGTAGTAACCACGATGGATAATCACACACGCATTGAACAAAACGAGTTTTTACTGGAATGAAGCTGGGATTCACATCCCACTAAGCGGATCATGAATGGCTAAGTAATACCATCGACGCGCAGCACCAGAAACAAACGGATAGTTGCGCTTTCTGTGAAATGTAAGTAAATCAGTGATTGAAAAGTGTGAGTGAGTTAGTTTGAGTGTTTAGTTTTACGCATCCTCGATAATCTCCAGGGTATACGTTACGATCACTCCTCCACTATACCCTGGATGCATCCATGGCTTGGCCCGATAATTATATTACCTCCTTTGCTGGCTCCGCATTCTCACAGTAGCCAATCAGCGAAGCCGCCGTTACATCCGAGCTTGTCAACAAAGATAGCGGTCGCAGTCGCGAAGGTTTGTTCGCAGTACCACTCAGATGTTTGGAGAATTAATACAGACAAATTGACAGATCTGAAATTTTCAAAAAATATATAAAGAACTCCTTCCACATCTTTCAGAGTACCCTCTGCATCAATTGCGTTGCCAAGTTTAAACGGTTAGATAATTTAAGAAGCGAAAGTGAGTTGTGATTGGTTCGCTCAACTTCCCAGCGTAGACACCTGATTGGATAAAAAGCCAGCCAAGGAAGGTAATAAAATCATCGGGCAGTAGATGCATCCAGGGTATAGTGGAGAGTGATCGTAACGTATACCTGGAGATTATCGAGGATGAGTTTTACACCGCTTTTTGTAAACTGCACCCTGGAATGGGCTTCACAAATTATATCGAATCGTGGGGGATCGAACCCAGGATTTCGGCGTGAGGAGGGAACTTCTAGGCTATCTTACCACCGGAGAGTGAGTGAAATGTGTGAGTGAGTGAATGGTAATAGTCAATGAAAATTGAGTGTGAGTGAGCATTGTTTTTGCGCTACTTTTCAGAGATCTTCAGTTACATGACTGTACATATCGGCTGATGCATATTCTTTAATGGAAGAAAGCTAAAGCATCAGTTAGCAACCACGATGGATAATCTCACACGCACTGAAACAACGAGTAATTACTGAAACGAAGCTGGGAATCACCTCCCACTGAGCGTATCATAGATGGTTAGGAAATGCAAATGTGCCATCGACGCACAGCACCAGAAACAACGGACAGTCGTGCTTACTGTGTTATATGTAAATATGTCTTTGTACAGAATCGTAAAGTGACAGATCAAATTACGACAGAATCCCTCAGGTGTGTCTATTTACCTTTACAATACACACCTGTCTGGAAGGCTATTATATACAGCATTGCAGCGGGTGGGAGCATACCTGAAACAAAATGTATGTCATAAGACACTGGTGAGACACACAGTCTCCTGCAATGATGATATTGTGTTATGTAAACACTGTAAAAGCATTGAGGATGAAATCCATATTGTCTATATTTGTAAACGCTATGAGGTGAGGTGAGGTGAAATTGGGTTTAACGTCGTGCTGGAGAATATTTCGCTCATATGATGACATGCATGCGTGTGTATGTGTATGTGCGGCTGCTTGTACTAGTCCAGACTTAAGCTGATTTTATAGTGCTAGCCCACTGAGATACCATGCTGCAGTGAAGCATGAATACCCTCCTCAGACACATTATACTGACTCCGAGCCGACCAGTCCTTGTTGTACCCATTAATGCCGAGCGCCAGGCAGGGACCAACAAGTACCATATTTTAACGTCTTTTGGTCTGACGCGGTCGGGGATCGAACCCGTGACCTTCCGCTCTCCTGGCGGACGCTCTAACCACTAGTAAACGCTATGAGGATATGCGTCGGCGTTACATTCACACAGTGTGATATAGAGACGGTGATAGGAGACTACATTGATGAAATCAGCAGAGTAAGCTGGTTCCCGGCTCCCTTTGCGCGCTAACTTGCGATATGCGAGACGGGGCCCAGCTTATCAGCAGGGCTGCTCCGGGCTGGTCGGTTGCCCCGGTAACAGAGTAGCGCCCTAAATACACGCCTTAAGAAGAACATTAAGCTGTGATATGTTTTAGTATATTATCGTAAGAAAAACCGATGAAGAAATATTCCCATCATCTACTGATGCACAATATGCATTTCATTTTT